CAAAACTTCTGGGAGCCTCCTGCTTTCTGTGCAGAGAAGGGAGAGGAGGGGGCGCTGATGTCAGGGTGCCTCCCTCTCCTCCTGTAGTCTATCTCCACAGAACGGGGCGGAGGGGGGCCACAACAGGACTTGGGATGGAGTTTGCTGGCTGCTTTTGAGAGTAGTGTGCTCCAGCCTGGTGAAAGGGAGGAAGGCTATGGAAAAGGGCTTTTGCCTGAACGGGAACGACAAAGCATTTACGCAAGAAGCACTGATTTCGGACTGTAGAACGTCAGTGTTTTTGCGCAAAATCAAGCAGCCAGTGTGGATAGCTGGCAAGTTGTTGCGCAAAAGCAGGTGCTTTTGCGGAAAAACTTGCCAGTCTAGACGCAGCCTCTGTGTTTTGAGAAATGCAGAGGGGAGCACCCCTTTGTGCCCTCACCATGTCCCTCACTGTTGGGGCCTTTTGGTGTTGGGGCCATGGAAATTAGAGATGTAATAGTGTAGTCAGTTAAACAATTAACTGATAAGTGAATGCTTATTGATTAGTGCTGATGGTTACATGCAGTCCCTCTCCCCCTATGGTTCTGTCAGTAAATTTTTTAGTGGGCTGGCCAGCAGCCTGGCTCAGTCCTTATTTGTGACAGGTCCGGGACCTACCCCGGCTGCAGCTCTGCATTTAAAATGTATTAGGAGCTGGGTGAGTAGGCATCCCGGCTCAGTTCCAGCTCACTCCGGATCTGAGAATTCTTTATCAGGCAGCAGGACAGGCCAACAGGCAGCTAGTCCACAACAAGAGCTGTTTTTTAAACTGGCTCCCCTCGTGGACCAGCTCCCTCCTGACACCCTGCACTGCTGCCTCTAATAGAGTTAGCAACGTGGAGTTGCGCGGGCTCCTCAGAGGTGAGACTGAAATGCACTGGCTGCCGGCTCCGCCTCTGGAGACTTTGAAATAGTAGAGTAACCAGTAAGAATTCATGAGGTTACTCAGCTATTCAATTATCCGATATTTAACATCCCTAGTGTTGAACTTCTGAATCCCTGAGGTGCTTTTGAAAATCACTTCCTGCCATGTGCAGCCACCTATGACCAGGGGAGCAACTTGGCATCTTGCTACATTACAAATCATGTTGGACACTTGGCAAAGACTGTTACCAGTCCTAACTAAAAATTGTATCTCTGGTAAAATATTTCATTGCAATGATAAATAACATTTTTTGAGGGGTTGATGACATTTAACGTCCTCTGCACAAGCAGAGTTGGCGGGTGGGCACAAGTAAGCTGTATTCCTACATCTGTATTTAATCACTAGTGCTCAGCCAAAGTAAGCACACAATCATACTAACCTCAAACTTCATCCAAAACATGGGAATGCTTTTTTTTGATAAATTGAAAAGGGATTATCAACATGTATTTTTCTACAGCTGGTATTAAATATAGTGGAAGATTTTAAAAAATAACTATACCTAATACTTGAGTGTCCCTTTAAACTTAAGTTTTTGTTCTTCTGTAACATCAACTATTTTAGTGTCTTTATATGAATGTAAAATAAACAAGTATTTCAGTTTATAACAGATTTGAAGCCTATTCAGGTAATATGTGCCTGGAATGTGCAAAGAATATATTTTGCCTTTAAAGTCAGTCAGTCATGACATCTGGCTAGATTCATGTTCTGCCACTACGCAGTTTTGTTTTTCATTCTAAGATATCCCTTGATGTATGACTGAGAGCAGTGTTAAGCAAAGTATTGGGCATTTAATTTGAGGTTTATAAATTAAGTCAGGGATGTAAAATCTCATTTAATTGGCTAACCAGTTAAACATGATGATTAACCAGTCAAAGGGAGGGAGGCCCTGTGCTACAGGCATGGTCGGCTTCATCCTGCCCCCTGTCCATGGCAGGCCTGGATGGATCTCAGTCAGGGGCTGCTCCGGTGCTCTGGAGCAGTACTTGCCTGCTAGGCACCTAGGCCCGCTACAGACAGGGACTGCTCCAGCTCCCATCAGTTAACTGGTTAATCTTTCACATCTCTAATACTGACTTCACTGATCTGTAGTTTTATCAATTTCTCATTTTCTATAAATAGCAATACAGTAATTCCTCATTTAACATGTTCCCACTTAACACATTTTTGCGATAGGACGACTTTTTTTTTAGGGAACATTTTTTGAATTACACGAACGTCCCCAGAATAACACAATTTCCCCGGCCGGCCCATTGCTGGTGGCTGTGCAGGGCTTCCCCCGCCTCCCTGCAAAGCGGGGGAGGGTTCGCCGCTCGCTGCGCTGTTCCCCAGCGGCCCCCTCCCTCCTTGCCAGACGCAGTGTGGGTCCCCGCAGACCCATCACAGGGGCATACTCCCAACCCAGTCCCCCTCCCCTCCCTTCTCTTCCTCTTCCCTGCCCTTCCCCGGAGCCAAACGCCTCCCCTTCCTGCTGTAACCCAGTCCCCTTTGTCCCCCAACCTTGTGTCCCGGTCCCAACAGACACCATCGCTTGAAATGCAACCCCCCTCTTTTCCATTATTTTCAATAAGAAAATTGACCCTGCATATAACATGTTTTCACTTAACACGATAATTTTCTGAAACACATCTGTAGTGTTAAATGAGGAATTACTGTATTGACTGGAGTTTTAATTTTACTTAGACAGAATATTTGAAGTATAAAATGTTTTACTTCTACATACATATTAGAGCAACTTACTTAGATTCATTTAAATATGACTGGCTCATATGCATATTGCATTAATTTATTTACTTTATGAGGAGTCTCTGCCATTATTGTCGACTTTGGAACCTGACAGGTTCAGTGACTGGGATGAAGATCTGATTCCCATCCTAAAAATGAGCGTAACTCCTCTGATGGTGCTTAACTTTTGTGGTGATAGTTCAGTGTACCTCTCCCTTTCCATTAGGAGATCCCTTTTCACTTTGTTAGAATTAGGCATTAGGATTTTTATGGTGAAATATTTTCCAGCTTGTCACAATCATATTAAATCAATTGCTGATATCAACTTCTAATAAGGAAAAGCAGCTCAATTTCTGCATTTGTCTTCCTTTTTTAATGGATTGTTCTTAGTAGGTGATGTAGCAGCCACTGCCAGTGATGGATCTTTGGTCCAAAACAGTTATGATGCGATAGAAGGAGGCGGCTTTATGGGTAGGACATTTTTATTAAACACTTTTCATCTTGAGAGAGCCATTTCAGGAGGGAGGCGGTAGGGGGTTTCTTTAACAAATGTATACTTTACTCCATGTAAGTTTATCTGAAGGAAATTGGAAACTGTAGTATTGGATCTTTGTTGTAACAGTTTATTATGCTTATCCATGTAAGTGTTTTTAAACAACAGTCCAGCCAAGACCTTTCAGTAATTTCCTGGCCAGAATGTCATAGTAGCATGATATCAAGGGAAGCTCTATATTTTGTTCTATCAACCTGACTGCCTTTCTTGGATAACTCATTTGTATATGAAAATCCTGTTTGTCCACTTTAGCAACTACATGTTCATCATCTGCTCCCCAGAATCTTAATCTGGGTAGAAGTGTTGGGTATTCTTATCCCACCCTACCACCAGGCTACCAGAATGTGTCTTCACCTGGAGCACCAGGAATGCAGTCCTCACCTCTGCAGTATCCAGCTGGACCACAGCCATTCCCTCAGGTAAATCTTTCCTGTTGATTTTATGTCCCTCTCACACCTCAGTCCTGTAAACAGATCTGTGCAGGCAGAACCCTGCACTCATGTAGGACTTTGTAAACTTCATAAGAATCTATGTAAGAACCAGAGTGTGTCTGTGCAATTAATCTTACAGGACTCAGACCTAAATTTATCTCTGTTGGTTAGTTCTTCAGAGTTGGTCAGGGAGAAACTTTTTCTACATCTTTTGAAGCAATATCAACTTATTGCAAATGTGTACCAGTTCTCTTTACAAGATTGTCTCCCTAAATTAATCTGTACCGCTGCCAAAATAATTTTTTCCAGCCACTGATTGTATTTTTAATTTCCTCCCACTGATTCCCTGTCTGTATTGATGATCAAAATTGGTGTCCAGTATTCTACATATTTCAGGTTTTTTCTCCTGACTTTCAAAGCAGGCCATTAATATACTTCTGCCTCTTGCTCAAGCCAAATTTGTCTTGGCCTGTTCTTTGTTCTATTGTCCTATGCTCCCAGTTAGTATGCAAAGCTTTTTCCTCCTTGCAAAAATGTTATGCATGTTGTAGTGTTCATGATATGATCATCACCTGCCACAGTGTGTCCCATAATTGATGTACAAGAGTTTTTAGTTGGTAAATGTTTTGAGGCAGAAATTCTGCATAGCTCACTTTACTGCATTCTAAAATAGGTACACAGATTTGTCCCTGTTCAAAATAATAATAGACTGAACATTAACATGGGTATTATGTTCAAATAAGCTTTCTTGCAAGACCCCTTATACTGTGCAACATGATACACCTAAATTATGCAGCAAGGATCTCCTGATACATGTGGCATGGCTATATTGAATTATGAAGCATTATACTGCAATTAATCACGAAATAACTTGTTTAGGAGCCATTCAGCCTATCTATGCTGACAGTGGGAGAGACAGTGATATAAGCACCTAAATTTGTGCCTGTGGAGTTTGAGGTTGTGGCTGCTAGGATCCCTAGATTCATAAAAACACAACACTGAGTTTTAGGAGCTGTGCACTTGGGGAGGGTATCTGCTCAGTAACTTCATATTTATGTTGTTTAGGAGGACTAGTTTGGAAAGTCTCCCTTAGCTCTGTCCCAGATGATAATTGTGGAACTCATGCTACTGCATGTCCTCCACTTCAGCTGGTCACACTGGTCCAAGATCAACAGAGGAATGTAGGCATTAAATTACCTTTGAAATCAAATTATGCAGAAAATGCATAAATATGCAGGTAAAATGTCTGATTATTTATGTGCCTGTGTAATTGCATATACAAGGTCCTGTTGATTGCTAATAAAAATTGCCAATAAACTCAGAAGTCATGAAATAGGTGCATTGGTGATGCATATCTTTGCTATAATACATAATTTTGTCAAATATCAAGAAACGAGAAGCTTAAGTTTTTGTAACCAGTGCCTGGCTATATTGCAGCAGAATACCAAGAAATACATGAACTAGAAAATTCTGACAGGGAAATAATTGGCTTGTTTTCAAAATAGGCATATCCAGATAAATTCAATTAACTTTTATATATTTTTTTTCCTTAGCCTTCCTTGGGTAGTAATCACCTAACTGCACCTATGAGTAGCCTGAGTCTGCAACCAGAAGGTTTAAGATCTATCAACCTTCTTCAAGAAAGAAATATTCTTCCTACAACACCTTTGCAGGCTCCGGTTCCAAACTTGCATGAAGAAATCCAGAAACTCAACTGTAATCCAGAGTAAGATTTCCCATTAGCTATAATTTATCAAAAGAAATGGAAATAAGTTCCTTGGATTTAAAAAAACCCAACAACCCTTAGGCTACGTCTACACTGGCAGCTTCTTGTGCAAGAACAGCTGTTCTTGCACTAAAACTTGCTGGATGTCTTCACTGCATGCGCGTTCTTGCATAAGTAAATTTACAGTCTAGCGTCGGAAAACAGGGCTTCTTCCAGAAGAGTTATTCCTCTCTCCACAAGGAATAAGCCCTCTTGCGCAAGAGGGCAGTGTAGACAGGCAACATGAATCTCTTTCACAAAAGCACATGATAGTGTAGACGCGCTCTTGTAGAAGACTTTTTGCTCAAGAACTCTTCCGCAAAACAGTTCTTGCACAACAAGCTGCCAGCGTAGACGTAGCCTCCGTGTCTAAAAATCAGCATATAGATTTCTTACATTCCTGAAATGCTTGCTTAGGTTTTTTGGATATGGACAGTAATTGTTTGAAAATGATTAAAGGCCCAGAAAACATGAGCTATGAGGGAACACTGAAAGAACTGGGCTTGTTTCATTTAGAAAAGAGAAGACTGAAAAGAGGACATGGTAGCAGTTTTCAAGTTTCTAAAAGAGTATTATGAGGAGGAGGGAGAAAAGTTGTTCTCCTTGGCCTCTGATGATAGGACAAGAAGAAGTGCAGCAAGGGAGGTTTTGTTTGGACATTAGGAAAAACTTCCTAACTGTCAAGTTGGTTAAACCCTAGAATAAATTGCCTAGAGGTATTGTGGAATCTTCATCACTGGAGACATTTAAGAGCAGGCTAGATAGACATCTACCAGGGATGATCTAGGCCAGTGTTCCTTAAACTTTTTAAGACCAAGGAACACCAAAAATAATTTGTTTTGAGGAACGCTAAGGATTTTTTGTTGAGCATGCGCGTTTTGAGGAACACTAAGGATTTTTTGTTGAGCATGCGCACACCCCCCCAAAAAAAGGGTCGGGGGAAAGTTACTGAGCAAAAGAAAAAAGGTTGCCTGCCCCTTTAAGGGTGGCCATTTTTAATTCTGTTCTCGGCGGCACACCTCCGACTGCCTCGCAGCACACTGGTGTGCCACAGAACACAGTTTAAGAAACACTGATCTAGGCGGTGCTTCTTCCTGCTGTGAGGGCAGGGGACTGGACTTGATGATCTCTTGAGGTCCCTTCCAGTTTTAGTACCTATGATTAAATGAAAAGTGGCATCTTAATTAAAATAATGAAAGATGAAAACTGGCTTAATTTTTAAATTTAAAAAAAGATGAGTAAAATACACATCAGGGTGCAAATGCATGAATTAATCTGGTCTTGACACCTTCAAGATACTAGCTATATGAACTCATTCTTAAACTATTCCTCAGTCTCTTTTTGTACTTCAGCAAATTTCTGGTATTGAGTTGATCAGAAGAGAATGAAATGCAAGTCCACAACAGCTTTTATTGCTGTCAGTCACCTCTGTCCCCCTCAAATGAGAATGAAGGTTCATATGTTCTTTCTAGAAAAATTGCTTCTGGGAACTTTGTAAGGTCTTAGAAGTTTGTTTGACAGTGTAATAGTTGATATCTTATATAAACAACAAAGTCATCTTCTAAACGCTATTTTTAGAACAGTTTAGGTAGATGTTCTCTCTCGTTTTGCCATTTGTCAGAGATCTAAAAATATGTTTTAGAGTAGTTTAACACCTATCCGTGACCTCATCTTCCCTTACAAAATAGGGATTTCCTTGAGTGTAACCTTTTTTTTCCAGTATATAGACTGGTTAGTTATCTAATTTTTCTCCATTCACCTCAACATAAGTATTTCAAAATATAATACATATGTTCAGCTCCTTTATATCCATTAGACAAAGATTAGTGTTTTGAAGTGCAGAGATTCTTCAGTTCCAAGGCCAACGACTTGGCCTTTTCCTGTTAGAATATGTAACTAAAGTGCTTTTCATTATACCCTCTACACAGAAATACAAACAAAATACAAACCTGCGTTTAAATCATCTTAAATTGATAAAATGAGTCTGCAGTATGCATCCCCACAGTGGTTTTTGTTGCGTTATGGAAACATGGGTAAAGGCGTCTTTCTTTTGAAGCCCTTGGATAGATGATAGAACCCAAGAGATACAACTAGCAAAAAATAAAAGTTAAAAACAGAAATAGAAATAAATAAAGTTATGCATGAAAGGTCCTTTAACTATCTGAAAAGTCTAACTTGGGCTTAAATAGACTGTAAGTTTTGTATTTGTAGCAGAATGTGTTTGGGGCCACTATACTTATTCTGCTCAATCAATTGTATACAAAATACAGTTATGATTTAGAAAAAACAAGGTATGTATGATGATTATGCCTTAGATTCAAACAGTTCAGGTTGACTTAGTAGCTTTGGCATATAACCAGAGAGGGTATTTTGTTAAGAAATAGCAATTCACTGCTACTAACTATGAAAAGAAATATACAGTATAAAGGATGCTATGTACTACTTAAAAACAATGTTATTCTCTTAAAGTCTCTGAAAATAACCCTTTATCCTTCATGTAGGTTGTTCCGATGTACCCTGACTAACATTCCTCAAACTCAGGCCTTATTGAATAAAGCCAAACTTCCTTTGGGGCTCCTGCTTCATCCTTTCAAAGACTTATCGGTATGATGAAATATTAAAAGCTTTAAATTACTGTAGTGTCCGCTATATCTGTTCTAGAGTTCAATATTAGATAACTAACAGAGGTAAATCTGTCAGCTAATCTTGGCCCAGAAAAATAAAAACTTCCCTTAGAAAACTGTCATCTTGCTTCTGTTCTGTGAAAACCACTGTCATTTTGTTAAATATCTGCCCCTGTTTCAGTCCCTAGCCTCGTTTTAAATGCTATTAGAAGCTCTGAGGTACAGTACAGTGCACAAACTATAACAAAGCGAGTCAATATATTTTGGTATAGTTTTTACGGTTTTATCTAGTCACATACTGGCTGTCACCATTGATTTCTTCATATAATCAAGTCTCCTGAGTGCTAATTCTTAACTAAACTAGGAACTAAAATTCAAATGGACTCAGCCACCTTTTAAACTACATAGTTCTTGAATTTAATCTGCTTCTATTGCTACTTTCCAGATAAGTGTGCTTTTTGGTGACTTCTGGAGTCAGAAGGAAGGCAGTGTGGATTCAATTACTATGAATTTATGAGAGTCACACATAGGGATGTTAAAACGCATTTTTGGAGGGGGGAGATATGTAACTGCTGAAATTTTCAGTGATTACATGTTTACATGCGGGGGGGAAGGAGGTCACAAAGCTGGCTTTCACTTGCTGCCTCCCTCCTCCACATGTTGCCATCGGCTCCCCCCCCCCCGCTGCCGCTGATACAGAGGCAGCAGCATGGATGTGGGGAACCTTGCATGTAACCGTAGGCTCATCGGTTAACTGTTTAAACGTACACTATCACATTCTTAGTCCCACAGCCTGTTACTTCCGCAATTGACTTATATTTCTAGAACACTTTTATGACTTCTATTTCTGCAGTGTTGAATTGGGGGTAAGTCTTCCCCAACTCAGTTTTTGTAAAATAAACTGGAAACACAAAATTAGACATGCTGATTGAGAGGTTTATCATCATTTTGAAACATACACGGCTAAAGAGATTAGAGCCTGAATTCAGTCAACCTTTCTAACAGTTAAAGTTTTGGCGGCATCCCTATATGGATTAGGGATACTTTTCTTCCTTGATTCTGCTTCTTACGTGACTGTTGCATCCAGGCTGGCAAACTTGAGATCACAGAAATTAGTATTACTGTGGTAGATATGTCATCTGTATCTTTGGGATTTTAAAACAGAAGTTCCTCTTTTCCAGCAATTACCTGTGGTGACCTCCAGTACAATTGTGCGATGTCGTTCCTGCAGGACGTATATTAACCCTTTTGTCAGCTTTCTAGACCAAAGGAGATGGAAATGCAACTTGTGTTATAGAGTGAATGATGGTAGGTTTTAAAACCAGAAGCCCACTTAAACATGCATGTCAACTTTTGAATTGGACTTCTACATACATTCCCCCAATACACTTTGATCCTGACATCTGAGCTCTGCTGCTATGCTTCTAGTCATTCCCAGATCAGGATTGTGAGTGATCAGGGCTTGACAAACCGCGACGAAATCTACCGTAACTTTGTGAATATACCCCGCACCCGAATATGCCCTGCGGTTTTTTTATTTGAGTAAAAAAAAAATCTTGTATACCCCGCACACGAATATAATCGGTGGGATATACAAGACTTTTCTGTGCTGGGGGTATATTTATGGTGCGGGAGGGTGGGGGAGATTAGCCACTCACTGCCCCAGGTTCCAGCGCAGCCTCCAGGCGGGGGAACACTCATTCCACAGGTTCCTCTGCAGCCGCAGGAAGTGGCAGGGGAGCAGGACCCCCCAGCCTCTGGGCGGGGGAGCGCTCACTGCCCAGTTCCTGTGCAGCTGCAGGAAGGGGTAGGGGGATGAGCACTCCGCCGCCCCTTCCTGCGGCTGTGCAGGAACTGGGGGGGGTGAGTGTTTTCCCGCCTGGAGGCTGGCGGCTGTGTAGCCACAGGAAAAGGCGATGGAGAGCTCCCCACCTGGTGAGTTTAAAAAAAAAAAAGCCTCTGTAAACCTGCACCTGAGTATACCCCGCGGGGGAGTGGTGGGGGTGGGGGGGGTTGTAAAAATGAATATAACCCGCAGGTTATATTTGCTAAAACACGGTACTCGCCAGCCCCGTATTGTGCATGCGCAGGCTGCCAGTGAATGGGGCAACCGGCTGAAATCTACTCGCCACAGGCGAGTAGATTCACTGATTTGTCGAGCCCTGTGAGTGATAACTAGGGACGTTAGTCCCCATAAGCTCATTGGGTAGTCGAGTGGAGTACTTCACTACTCACTTCTCTCCCCTCTATGTATGAGAAGCAGCTGGGGGGGAGAAGGGGGAGAGACAGCAACCTGTGCTGAGGGGAGCTGGCTTAAAAGCCAGTTCCCCCCAGCACTGTCTCCACGATGCCACCTGCCCCCAAGACCCCTCCCACCCCACTACCTCTATTGGAGGCAGCCATGGGGGGATAGGGGAGGCTACTGAGAAGCATCCTCTGCCCATGGTAGGCTGAAGCTCACAACGGGCAGAGGCTGTTCCAGCAGCAGCCCCGTCCACGGGGATCAGCCTCAGTTTACAACAGCCAGCCCTAGCAGCCATGAACGGGTCTGCTGGATTTTGCACAAGCTGGGACCGAGCAGTTCCAGCTCGTGCTGGTCTGGGACACTGCCTCTGCATTTTAAATGTAGTAAGAACACAGAGGCTCTTACTACATTTAAAACGCAGCACTGCAGCACGGATGGCTCCCGGAGCTGGTGTGAGCCAGGTTTGCTCAGTCCCAGCAGCAGCTGGCTCCAAGAGCTACCTCCATTGTGGCTCTGCAGAGTAGCCCCTTATTGACTAATCGTGTAGTTGATACAAACTGTATCAACTACATGATTAGCCAGATACACTAGAGATGTTAAATTGCAGTTAACAAATAATGGGATTGTGCGATGTAGGAAGACTTCCATTATGGATCATTATGTGATCGCTAAAAAAGCTTAACTGAGTTTGAAACAATCTCCAAATGTGTGATACTGTAGTAACTTGCTATCCTACTAGTACCCCTATGTTTCCTCTTACACATTATCACATTGCAGATACAGCATCATTACTTAGACATGTCTGTGCAAAATCCTAGCACTTTTAATATTAGTGTTTGTTAGTGTGAGCTGTGATAAATACAATATTTTTCATCTGATTGTAGTTCCTGAAGAATTCATGTACAATCCTGTGACAAGAGTATATGGAGAACCTCATAAAAGACCTGAAGTTCAAAATGCTACTATTGAGTTCATGGCTCCCTCTGAATACATGGTGAGAGTTTGTTCACTTTTTTATTAAACTTTTATATTGCTTTAATGTCTAGGGACCTCAGTAGGAAAAAATTCCCCATTGTGCTAGATGCTTTGCAGATTCCCAGTAAGTAAGGTAATCCCTGCCACAGAGTGTGTTTGAGTAATTCTGCAAGATGTGCTTTTCGGATAGCATTATGTAACTTCAACATCTGAGTTTATAGCAAATATTACTTTGTACGTTTATATCAGAAAATGTGTTAGTACTGCTAGGTTCCTAATGAAGAAAGCTAAGGTATTCCACTGGGCTAGTGCATCTAAACAGTTCTCGCTCTAGTATAGTGTTCATCAACTGGTTGATCGCTATTGACTGGTTGAACCTGAGGAATCTCACAGTTGATCACAATTGGCAGGCTTCCTCCCTGCCCAGTGTGGCCCTGTGGGTGGGTGGGTGGGGCAGGTGTCTTGGCCCCCTTCAGCTCCCATTGGTTAGGGACAGGGAAATTGGCAATGGAAACTGGGGGAGTGGTTCCAGTAAAGAAGGGCAGCACGTGGAGCCATGTGCCCCCAGACCACAAGGGTGCATTGGCCCCTTCTGGGAGTGTCATGGTGCTGGGGCAGGCGGAGAGAGGGGAGGTTGAGCGGGGTAGGACCTTGGGGAAGGGGCAGTGTAGATCTTGGGTTGCTCTTAAATTCAGAAAGTGATCTTGGGCATAAAGGTTGGAGGTAACTGTTCTAGTGGCTGGTTCCTGTTTGTTTAGCCTGCTGTCTCAGCTCAAGTGGTAGAGACCTGTTTTTCATAGTTTTGAATCCTATAAATCCTTCTTTTTAAACCATCACAGTGTCTGAATGTGTTCACACCTAAGATTTCTTACACCAAGAAAACATTGTGCTGAAGTTTTTACATTCGTTTAATATCATGACAAATTGCACACAGCCATTGCTTGCACTCCTGCTTTTGGTAGATTAGTAAAAGTCATTTGATTGTTCTCACCCAACAGTGCATTTGAGATTGATCAGTTTTGCCATCTTCTGCAGTTATAGCTATGGGTGACAGTGGTTCTGCACCTGTTCTGGATTAAAAGTCTTAAAAGGGTAGCTGTGTTAATCTGTAATTTAAAAAAAAATAAACAACTAGTGGTCCTGTAGCACCTTAGAGACTAACAAAATATATATATATATATATATAGTTGTGCCAACAAAAGCTCATGATAGTATATGTATTTTTGTTAGTCTCTAACGTGCTACAGGACCACTGGTTGTTTGTCTATTGTGGATTGTGATCTTGAATTACGAAACATTTTTGGACCACCCCTCCTACATTAAGAAGTGGTTGCTGTCTCTCACTCTCATGAACCCCAGTGTGTTCAGAACTCCTAAGTTGAAAACTTGTGGCACAGGACACCATGAGCTAGTTTAACGTGCGTGGTTAAAGGCAAAGAATCTTAACATAAAAAATTGTGGTTCTATTTTCTAAATATTAATGTTTATTTCTAGTTTATAGTAACTTTTTTAATATTCTAATGAAAAACATTAGAAAGCTTAGACATTGTTCCTTGAACTGTACTTAAGATAGTATACTTGTACTAAAGCCACTGAGTAATAGACCAAGAGTCCAGTCCTGCAACCGTTGCTCACCTGAGTTACTCCTGTTGACTTCAGTGAGTGTTTGGAGAAGGGTTTCAGCGCTGCTGCTCCTTAAGCATTACCAACTAAACGAATGGTGATGAACAGTATCATTGTAATTGCACTTTTCTAAAGTAACTGATTGCCATCTAGATTGGAAAATACCAGTTCTGAGAACTTGGAGGAGACAGCATGTTAAAGGGACATTGAATCAATACATTAAAGTAGAAATGAACTTGTTCAAAATAATATATTTAGATTTTAAAAAATTAGTACTTTAGAAAGCTAATGTTGATATTTATATTTTTACTTATATTATCTCAACCTTGATGATGACTGGTCACTATTCTGGATTGCTATCAGGATATTCTACTGTTTGAGTTACAATGGAATATTTGGCAATGCAATGTTTAAAAAAGTCTCTTGCTGATCTTTAAATTACATTCTTGTTGACTCTGGATTTTATAAAATCTTATTTTTACAGATATCCGCATCAGGCCAGTTTTGATCTGACAGTTTCACTTTGTCAAGGACTAGAATTTATCCTATGTGGTTTTCCTCTGTATTTCCTACTTACCCTATTTTGAACGATCATGGCTTATTTGTTCTCCATTACACAAATTAGAGAGATTTCTGTTTTGGGAATGCGTTCTGAATGATGCAATGTAAACCTACAATATAACTAATAAATGAACTATGAAACTATATGGACATTAAAAAACGTTGGTTTTTTTTTCAGCTACGTCCACCTCAACCTCCTGTGTACCTCTTTGTGTTTGATGTCTCCCACAATGCAATTGAGACAGGATACTTGAATACAGTCTGCAAGACCTTGTTAGACAATCTTGACTTGTAAGTTTTGGTTCTTTTATCAGAATTTAATCTTTCTCCTCCCCCTATATTTCCAGTGTTTTCTGTGTGGACTTTTTTTTTGGTGATTTGTGAAATTAGTTTAATATTCTGTGGACAAGACTTTAATTCAGTCCATTTTTAATCCAGAGAGGAAAATTTTCAAAGCCTTAAACTCAGTTTTTATCAATTGTAGTTGTGTGCTCAAACCCTGATTTTTAAAATGTATGTGCCAGTCTGATTACACACCTTGGTTTTGATTTATAATGCAAAACATTCATAAGAATGTCATAAGTTTGCATTGAAACTATGGCTTTAGAAACAGTAATTCAGTGTGTACTCACAACAAATGCACATACATATCTATAAAGCTTTGCATGAGAGACAAATTGGGTGAGCTAATATCTTTTACTGAACCATCTTCTATTGATGACAGACAAACTTTCAGGCTTACAGAGTTTTCAGTTTGTAGCTATTCCCACTAAGGACTTGTGTAATGCTTCACATCTTTAAAGCTCTGTGCAAATGTTCGGTAAGAAGCTCTCTGTTTACCTTGGAATTTCTCCCTTTGATTGGGAACTTTTTTTTTTGGGGGGGGGGGGCGGCTTTCTGGAAGTGGAAGATAGGTTATATGAATCTTGATTCTGTCTTGTGTTAGAGCAGTGGTTTTCAACCTCTGGTGTGTGGACCCATGCAGGTCCACAGACTTTGTCGAAGGGATCCACGAAAGATGACTCTGAACATAAAGTTTCAGATCCAAGGAAAGGCATTTCGTTCTTCTGATCAGTCAAGGGTGTGTGAATACCTCCACATACAGGTCAAAACCAGAGGTAGTGATATAAGAGAAGCCCATAGATGAGCATCCTTTCTCTCACTGCATCAAATGCCATGCTGAGCATATGGAACATTTGTATTTGGTTTCTGTTCAGTCAGTTTTCAGGCTCAGACTTTTATGTTAGGCTAAATTTCCATGAGGATCTGCACTACCATTCAAAATTGTTTAGGGGTCCACAAATGGAAAAAAGGTTGAAAATCATTGCTATAGATTGAGTCTCAACATAAATAATGTCAGTTTAGTGCTATAAAATACCTCAAAGGCAAGCCATGAATAAATTTAGTACTGCATTTGTTCGAACTACTTGTTGGGTAGGGGGAGTGAGTATAAGCATTAGCCTGAGAATAATGTGATGAATATTGCAGAAGCTGTATTTCCCAGCAGGTATAAAAATGTCCCTCCACTTCATGTCATTGTAATAGCTCTGAAAGAATGTGCTTGCACTTAAATAATGTAGGGTAACTAAATTTGACTTGCTGAATCCTGTTTCTGATTTTTAGGCTTCCTGGGAACACTAGAACAAAAATAGGCTTTATAACATTTGACAGCACAATCCATTTCTACAGCCTTCAGGAAGGTCTCTCTCAGCCTCAGATGCTAATAGTTTCAGATATTGAAGGTATGTAAGAATAAGTTCTAAATTGTGTTTTTATAGAACAATACCTAATGATTTTGACATACTATGCTGGCACAGTCTAAAACTCTAAATACTAAATTGGGTGAACCAGTGTGTCTGGTATTAAATTAGGATAGTGACATAATTAGGATTGCAGAAACTTAAGTGTAATAAGATAATTGATGGAACATGGTAATAATGCGTACAAAATGTATAGGAATTACAATAGTTCACACTGAGGGAATAGCACTAAAGGTTGACAAAAGAATAGTCAAATACAGTAAAAATCTTACATTTAACTCTTAAGGATAGAAATCACATGCTTGGGCAATAAGAACATAGCAGTAGTAGTATGCTTACTTTGCAGAATGGGGACACTGTGAAATACTCCAGGAGTGTAGAGTGGCTCTGAAGCAGAAAACTCAATAATGATAATAAGAGATTTCAGCTAGCCTCATATTGACTGGGAACATGTCACTTCAGGAAGGAATGCAGAGAGAAAATTTCTAGACTTCATAAAAGACTTCTTTGAGCATCTTGTCCTAGAACTTAGAAGGAGAGAGGCAATTCTTTATTTAGTTCTAAGTATGGATGTCAACATGTAATTGAGTGTGCGATTAGCTGATAAGCCTAGTGCCCCTCCCTCCCCCAGGCAGTATCACAGGCAGCAAGGGCACGTGATAAGGGAACAAGAGCCAGTGCTGGGGGGAACCAGCTTAAAAGCTGGTTCCCTGCCAGTACTAGCTCCACAGTACCGCCTTACCCCATCCTCCGCCCCCCCCAATAGAGGCAGCAACAGAGCAGACAAAGGGAGCTTCCATGAAGTAACATCTATCCGCAGGGATGTCCGAGCTCCCTGTGATCAGAGGCTGGTTCCTGGCAGCAGCTCGGACCCCTTGCAGACAGGGGCTGCTGCTGGACAAGTCTCGGTCCATGGCCAGCCACAGCCAGAGGCTGCTTTGTGGCAGTCTCTCCCACCTCCTGCAGCAGCCTCTGTCCGTGGGGAGCTCAGACCTCTGCGGACAGGGACTGCTGCCACCCTGTGCTGCTGCCTCTTAAAAAAACTTAACTTTAAAAAAGAAAGAAAAGAAACTACACTAAAATGAGTTAATTTTTGTTTGACTAGCTAACAGGAACAATCACAAGGGTGAAATGCCTGCACATTGCATAGAAACTATTGAAAAACACCTTCAAAGAGATTCAAACTATGTGTATACCCTACGTAACAAAACTCCAAAACATGTTGCCATGACTAAACAGAGTAAGGGAGAGACAGAAGGCATTCTTTAAAAATTTTAAGTCAAATCCTTCTGGGGAAAATAAAATCCGGCAAGGCAAGTGTGAAGTATAAGGCAGGCCAAGAGAGAATTTGAAGAGTGCCCACAAAAGCTCGTGATACCATCTACATGTTTTGTTAGTCTTTTAAGTCCTACCATTCTATTTGTTGTGTTTTAAGTTTAGCCCCCCCCAGAAAAGTACATTAACAGCAGGAAGCCTGCAAAGTCAGTGGAACCACTGGATGATCGAAATGCTAAAAGAGCACTCAAGGAAGGTAAGACCAATGTGGAGAAGCTAAATGAATTCTTTCCATTGGTCTTCACTGCACAGGGTATGTGGGAGATCCGTCCACCTGAGCCATAAACAGCAATAAATCACCAGGTCCAGATGACGTTGACCCAAGAGTTTCAAAAAAATGAAATTGCACAATTACTAACTGTAGTATGATAATAGAAATGTAGCTGTGTTAGTCTGGTGTAGCTGAAGCAAAATATAGGACTATGTAGCACTTTAAAGGGAATCCTCTGAACTGTCATTCATGCTAAAATTCGACACTTTACGTCTGAGTCTAAACAAAGGATCTAGTTATCTTACCCATTACAAAGATAGCTTCCCTAATTATCACCTCTAATATCATTAGCCCACAGACATTCACCTTCCCCCCACCTTCCCTCTTCTGTACTGAAATTTGATTTGTCCTTTTCATGTGTGTTCATTTTTTTAAATTGTATCCTTTGGTATATATGGTTGTGACTATTTTCTTCCACTATTTGATCTGAGGAAGTGGGTCTGGCCCACGAAAGCTCATCATCTAATAAACCATCTTGTTAGTCTTTAAAATGCTACATAGTCCTGTATTTTGCTTTAACTGTAATATAAAATTCCCATTTCAATCAGTCTCTGTAACTAATAATTTTTACAAAGGCTCCAATAGCGAGCCTGGCAATTACAGGCTAGTAAGCCTCACTTCAGTACCAGGCACATTTCTTGAAATTGGGCCTAAGAACCAAATTATCCAACAATTACATAAACACAACGAATTGGAGAAGACTCAGCATGGCTTTATGTAAAGGGAAATCCTTCCTCACCAGTCCACTCAAATTCTCTGAGGGAGCCAGCAAGATTGTATAGAAGCACGATCCAGTCAAAATAATGTACTTGGACTTTCAGAAAACCTTTGTCAGAGTCCCTCACCAAAGGCTCTTAAGCAAAGAAAATCAATGGGATAGGTGGTAGGTTCTGTCCTGAGCTAAGACAGGAATCAAAAGCAGGAATAAATGGTCAGTTTTCACAATGGAGAGAGGTAAACAGTGGAGGCTTGTAACGTGGTGTAACTCACCACTGCAGTGTCTTCTGCTGGTCACTCCAGGAATCAGCTTCACTCAGCGACAAAGCACCCCCTTCTGACTGGTGTGTCTCGTATTGTAACTTGTTTATGTGTTAAATAGGTTATCAAGCCTTGTGAATAAGGGAACAGCGGTGGATGTGGTATACCTAGACTTTAGTAAGGCATTTGACGTGACCTTCTTATCAATAAACTAAGGTGTCAACTTACAGGGCCATGGCCAAACAGGATTATGGATTCACTTCAACACAGTCAATTAGGGATAGTTGCTTTTATTAATCTCACTACTTCACTGCTATTTCAGGGTTAATACTGCCAAATGGTTATACAGCTACCGCAAAGTGACACATTAATAAGCACCGGCATAGCAATGCATAAGAGAGTAACAGGCACTTGGAAATGCTTACGCCCCTTCAGTCTGCAGGGAGTCCCATTCCTGTCACCTCGCAGCAAGACGCAGTAGACGTGGCTTCACCTGGGGGAATCCAGGGCACCCTCTGAGGCTTACGTCCTTGGTGAGACTCACTGGGCATGGGACTCTTACACTAATATTCCAGTTGTTTACCGGTTGTGCGTGCACTGGCTCAACGTCACTCTCAACATTCTCATGAGCTGAGACTGAGGTCAAACTTGTTTACAACTTAGTAGTTTCCCAGCTCAAGTGCATGGGTTAAAGCTGATGAGGGTCAGCTGCTGTTTGTGCTTGCAGGGTCCCAGGCTATGTACTTCAAGGATGGAAACTTCCGTCCTAGCCTGTTAAGCTGTAGGCCACACAGATTGGTGTTTGGAGGATAGGGTCATAATTCAAAATGATTTGGACAAACTAGAGAAATTGTCTGAGGTAAACAGGATGAAGTTTAATGAAGACAAATGCAAAGTAGTCCACTTAGGAAGAAACAATCAGTTTCACACATATGGAATAGGAAGCGATTGTCTAGGAAGGAGTACTGCTGAAAGGGATTTAGAGATCTTAGTGGACCACAAGTTAATCATGAGTCCACTGTGTGACACTTGCAAAAAAGCAACTATTATTCTGGGATGCATTAACGGGTGTTGTGAGCAAGACACGAGAAGTCATTCTTCTGCTCCACTCTGACTTCATTAGGTCCTGATTAGAATATTGTGTCTAGTTCTTGGCACCACATTTCAAGAGAATTTGGAGAAGGTCCAGAGAAGAGCAACAAAAATGATTAAAGGTCTAGAAAACATGGCCTATGAGGGAAGACTGAAAGAATTGGGCTTCTTTAGTTTGGAAAAGAAAAGATTGAGGGGGAACATGATAGCAGTTTTCAAGTATCTAAAAGGATGTTACGAGGAGGATGAAAAATTGTTCTCCTTGTCCTCTGAGGATAGGACAAGAAGTAATGGGCTTAAATTGCAGTAAAGGAGGTTTAGGTTGGACATTAGGAAAACCTTCCTAACTGTCAGGGTCATTAAGCACTGGAATAAATTGCCTAGGGAGGTTGTAGAATCTCCATTACTGAAGATATTTAAGGGCAGGTTGGATAGACATCTATCAGGGATGATCTAAACAGTGCTTGGTCCTGCCGTGATGGCAGGGGACTGGACTTGATGACCTCTAGAGTTCCAGTTCTAGGGTTCTGTGATTCTCTGACAATAGGACCTGCAGCCCTCTCCTCTGTGTTCTGCCCTGATGCGGTGCCCCCATGCTCTGGCGTCCTCCCCCTTAGGTAATCCGCAACCCCCTGTACCCACCTTACCTCAGTGACCTTATTGCTAGTCGTATTCTAGCCCCTTGACCTCAGGGGCAAACTGCAATCTGAAATGGCCACTTATCATTGGCCTTCTCCTGCCCTGGCTGTCTCCCTGCAGCCCTAGTACCCTCAGAACTTGCCTCAGGCCCTGCAGCCTGGAAGTGAATTCAGGCCAGAGTTCCACAGCTCTGCCTGCCTTTCCCCAGCACTGCGTTGTCTCAGGAAGCTTCTAGCTTCCCTGAAACCCAAGTCCTTCTGGTTCCACAGCTGAAGCAAGAATGAGTGTTTTCCTCCACCTTAGGAAGCCCTTATTTTTACAACTCCAGCTGGCCCTTAATTATCTTCAGCCTCACCTGTGGCTGCCTACCACTCAGCCTCCTGCCTGCCCACCTCCTCTCCTGAATGTAAACATGTAATTGCTAAAACTTGTAGTGGTTACACATTTACACAAATACACATTAGTTGAGATCACTGTTTATGAAAGGGATAGAAAATGAATCTCAAAAATCATGATGCCTCCCTCTATACATCCATGGCATGCTCACATCTTGAATACTTCATGCAGTTCTGGTCACTGTCTTAAGTAAAGGTGTATATTAGAATTGAATTAGGGCACGACATTAAAGATGTAGAACAGCTTCCTTTCAGAAGAGATTAAAACTGAAACAGTTCATTTTAGAAAAGAGATAACTAAGGGGGGGCATATGGTAGAGTCCTATAAAATCACGAATAGTGTCAAGCAAGTAAATAGGGAAGTGTTTATTCCTTCACAATGCAAGAAGTAGGGTTACCTGGTGACATTAATAGGCAGCAGGTTTCAGTTAAACAGCAGAAGCACGGCTTCACATGCCAACTGCCCAGGACTGATCAAGCAGCCAGTGTGGCTGGCTGCATGGCTGCTCTAGTCACTAGTGGCTGGTGTGGGAGGCCCCAGAGCCAGCTGCTTGGGCAGCCCTTGTGTCAGCCACACTGGTCATTGCAGAAGTCACAGAAGTTGTGGAAAGTCACTTTTTGTGACTTCCATCACCTCTGTGACAGGTACTGAGCCCTATTCATGGATATGCAGCTGCTGGGGACACCTGAGTTTTCAGATAGCTTTAATCAATTCATTTTTTGCTCTTCCAGATGTGTTTATACCAATGCCAGAGAACTTATTAGTAAACTTAAATGAAAACAAAGAGGTAAGCCCTGTCTTAAATTGTATAGGTGACATTCAGGCCATATGACATGCATTATATAGCTTGTACAGTGCTTAATTATTTAATGTCAACTTAAATCTCACTTGTCTGAATTTCTTGTCTACTTTTATTACAAATATTACTGTAACTGAAATAAATGGCAATAGTTTGTTCAGTTTTACTTTGTGTATTTAATTGCATTGTATTTGGTTAGTGTTGCTGTTTCCCTTCTGTAGTCAGCCCGTTTCATTGTGAAAAGGAAACTCATCTTTCTTCAACAGAGTATAGCTAAACCCCAGAAATTGGCAATGGGACTCCAGGGCAAATGTTGCTCCAAAAACGCCTATAACTCATTTCTGATTGACTACATTTAAAGTTAATGGTATCCTTCTAAAATAAACAGACCTAAATATTTAGAGATAAATGAAGATAACATGTCTCTTACTTAAAATAACAAAAACTTAACATTTTAGCAAGCTTTACGATATTGAGTTCCTAGTTTTTGGTACTATGGATCTTGTTTTATTAGAAGTGGTAGGTTATGTAATACTATAGAATGACATTCTAGGTAAAACGGAGAACTTGTACTATCCTCACATCTTGTTGCAAGGTATTTTAAATGTTACTTTTTGTATATAATATTTAATTAATCTCTTTAATATCAGCAGTACTCAGTGTTACATGCATAATAAATAGCCTGTGCAATAGAGGAGAAATCTCTTCTGAAACTATAATTGAGTAATTTTTTACTTTTATCCCAGCTAATTCAAGATTTACTGAGGACTTTGCCACAGATGTTTACCAAGTCACTGGAAACACAGAGTGCTCTTGGACCTGCGCTGCAGGCTGCCTTCAAATTGATGTCTCCTACTGGTGGTCGAATTTCTGTCTTCCAGACACAGCTTCCATCTTTAGGAGTGGGAGCACTCAAATCCCGAGAAGAACCTAACCAAAGAGCATCTGCAAAGGTTACAAAAACACTGTTTAAACACAAATCCATGAAAACTTACAATCCTGTTGCATGAATTTATATGAATTTTGAATTGTGTGGTTTAGAGTACCTTAGTTTTATTGGAGGTCTATAACAGGAGCTGACATTCTTACACTGTATTAATCAATGTGACTAACAAGGGAACCTATAAACACAGAGTGATACTGATTTTGAAAGATATTGAGAACTCAGAACAGTCATTGAAGTCAGTGAAAGAGATGCATTGCTGAACATCCCTGAAATTAGGTCACAAGAGTGTGGTGCGATTTGGAATCCCTCTTTTCTCTTTCCTTGTATTAACAGGATATACATCTTACACCATCCACTGACTTCTACAAGAAGTTAGCATTGGACTGCTCAGGGCAGCAGGTTGCAGTTGATTTGTTCCTCCTTAGTGGGCAGTATTCTGACTTGGCTTCATTAGGTAAGTCATCACAGGGTACTCCTTAAGATTGTAGCTTCAGTGTTCTTAAGAACACTCTGTAATGCTTAACTTTTTTTTGCTCTTTCACTTGTGCATATTTTACTATTTTAATGTAATGATTTAAAATGGTAACCATGCCCGACAGAGTTAACTATGAGACTGCATGTTCCCCTATCTGCTGTTTGATATTTCTATCAGTAGAGATTTTGATCTTTCATAATAGAAGTTTGGGGATGTCTGGACAAGCTAACTAGCCTGTTTTTTTTCTCTTCTTACCTGAGGGTTGAGATTTTTCTGTCTCTTAGAACATTGTCAGGACTTGTTCCCTAATATTCATCCTCCTTCTGTTCTGAAATGTGATTTGTCCTTTTCATATGTGTTCATTTTTTTAAATTGTATCCTTTGGTATATATGGTTGTGACTATTTTCTTCCACTATTTGATCTGAGGAAGTGGGTCTGGCCCACGAAAGCTCATCATCTAATAAACCATCTTGTTAGTCTTTAAAATGCTACATAGTCCTGTATTTTGCTTTAACTGTAATATAAAATTCCCATTTCAATCAGTCTCTGTAACTAATAATTTTTACAAAGGCTCCAATAGCGAGCCTGGCAATTACAGGCTAGTAAGCCTCACTTCAGTACCAGGCACATTTCTTGAAATTGGGCCTAAGAACCAAATTATCCAACAATTACATAAACACAACGAATTGGAGAAGACTCAGCATGGCTTTATGTAAAGGGAAATCCTTCCTCACCAGTCCACTCAAATTCTCTGAGGGAGCCAGCAAGATTGTATAGAAGCACGATCCAGTCAAAATAATGTACTTGGACTTTCAGAAAACCTTTGTCAGAGTCCCTCACCAAAGGCTCTTAAGCAAAGAAAATCAATGGGATAGGTGGTAGGTTCTGTCCTGAGCTAAGACAGGAATCAAAAGCAGGAATAAATGGTCAGTTTTCACAATGGAGAGAGGTAAACAGTGGAGGCTTGTAACGTGGTGTAACTCACCACTGCAGTGTCTTCTGCTGGTCACTCCAGGAATCAGCTTCACTCAGCGACAAAGCACCCCCTTCTGACTGGTGTGTCTCGTATTGTAACTTGTTTATGTGTTAAATAGGTTATCAAGCCTTGTGAATAAGGGAACAGCGGTGGATGTGGTATACCTAGACTTTAGTAAGGCATTTGACGTGACCTTCTTATCAATAAACTAAGGTGTCAACTTACAGGGCCATGGCCAAACAGGATTATGGATTCACTTCAACACAGTCAATTAGGGATAGTTGCTTTTATTAATCTCACTACTTCACTGCTATTTCAGGGTTAATACTGCCAAATGGTTATACAGCTACCGCAAAGTGACACATTAATAAGCACCGGCATAGCAATGCATAAGAGAGTAACAGGCACTTGGAAATGCTTACGCCCCTTCAGTCTGCAGGGAGTCCCATTCCTGTCACCTCGCAGCAAGACGCAGTAGACGTGGCTTCACCTGGGGGAATCCAGGGCACCCTCTGAGGCTTACGTCCTTGGTGAGACTCACTGGGCATGGGACTCTTACACTAATATTCCAGTTGTTTACCGGTTGTGCGTGCACTGGCTCAACGTCACTCTCAACATTCTCATGAGCTGAGACTGAGGTCAAACTTGTTTACAACTTAGTAGTTTCCCAGCTCAAGTGCATGGGTTAAAGCTGATGAGGGTCAGCTGCTGTTTGTGCTTGCAGGGTCCCAGGCTATGTACTTCAAGGATGGAAACTTCCGTCCTAGCCTGTTAAGCTGTAGGCCACACAGATTGGTGTTTGGAGGATAGGGTCATAATTCAAAATGATTTGGACAAACTAGAGAAATTGTCTGAGGTAAACAGGATGAAGTTTAATGAAGACAAATGCAAAGTAGTCCACTTAGGAAGAAACAATCAGTTTCACACATATGGAATAGGAAGCGATTGTCTAGGAAGGAGTACTGCTGAAAGGGATTTAGAGATCTTAGTGGACCACAAGTTAATCATGAGTCCACTGTGTGACACTTGCAAAAAAGCAACTATTATTCTGGGATGCATTAACGGGTGTTGTGAGCAAGACACGAGAAGTCATTCTTCTGCTCCACTCTGACTTCATTAGGTCCTGATTAGAATATTGTGTCTAGTTCTTGGCACCACATTTCAAGAGAATTTGGAGAAGGTCCAGAGAAGAGCAACAAAAATGATTAAAGGTCTAGAAAACATGGCCTATGAGGGAAGACTGAAAGAATTGGGCTTCTTTAGTTTGGAAAAGAAAAGATTGAGGGGGAACATGATAGCAGTTTTCAAGTATCTAAAAGGATGTTACGAGGAGGATGAAAAATTGTTCTCCTTGTCCTCTGAGGATAGGACAAGAAGTAATGGGCTTAAATTGCAGTAAAGGAGGTTTAGGTTGGACATTAGGAAAACCTTCCTAACTGTCAGGGTCATTAAGCACTGGAATAAATTGCCTAGGGAGGTTGTAGAATCTCCATTACTGAAGATATTTAAGGGCAGGTTGGATAGACATCTATCAGGGATGATCTAAACAGTGCTTGGTCCTGCCGTGATGGCAGGGGACTGGACTTGATGACCTCTAGAGTTCCAGTTCTAGGGTTCTGTGATTCTCTGACAATAGGACCTGCAGCCCTCTCCTCTGTGTTCTGCCCTGATGCGGTGCCCCCATGCTCTGGCGTCCTCCCCCTTAGGTAATCCGCAACCCCCTGTACCCACCTTACCTCAGTGACCTTATTGCTAGTCGTATTCTAGCCCCTTGACCTCAGGGGCAAACTGCAATCTGAAATGGCCACTTATCATTGGCCTTCTCCTGCCCTGGCTGTCTCCCTGCAGCCCTAGTACCCTCAGAACTTGCCTCAGGCCCTGCAGCCTGGAAGTGAATTCAGGCCAGAGTTCCACAGCTCTGCCTGCCTTTCCCCAGCACTGCGTTGTCTCAGGAAGCTTCTAGCTTCCCTGAAACCCAAGTCCTTCTGGTTCCACAGCTGAAGCAAGAATGAGTGTTTTCCTCCACCTTAGGAAGCCCTTATTTTTACAACTCCAGCTGGCCCTTAATTATCTTCAGCCTCACCTGTGGCTGCCTACCACTCAGCCTCCTGCCTGCCCACCTCCTCTCCTGAATGTAAACATGTAATTGCTAAAACTTGTAGTGGTTACACATTTACACAAATACACATTAGTTGAGATCACTGTTTATGAAAGGGATAGAAAATGAATCTCAAAAATCATGATGCCTCCCTCTATACATCCATGGCATGCTCACATCTTGAATACTTCATGCAGTTCTGGTCACTGTCTTAAGTAAAGGTGTATATTAGAATTGAATTAGGGCACGACATTAAAGATGTAGAACAGCTTCCTTTCAGAAGAGATTAAAACTGAAACAGTTCATTTTAGAAAAGAGATAACTAAGGGGGGGCATATGGTAGAGTCCTATAAAATCACGAATAGTGTCAAGCAAGTAAATAGGGAAGTGTTTATTCCTTCACAATGCAAGAAGTAGGGTTACCTGGTGACATTAATAGGCAGCAGGTTTCAGTTAAACAGCGGAAGCACGGCTTCACATGCCAACTGCCCAGGACTGATCAAGCAGCCAGTGTGGCTGGCTGCATGGCTGCTCTAGTCACTAGTGGCTGGTGTGGGAGGCCCCAGAGCCAGCTGCTTGGGCAGCCCTTGTGTCAGCCACACTGGTCATTGCAGAAGTCACAGAAGTTGTGGAAAGTCACTTTTTGTGACTTCCATCACCTCTGTGACAGGTACTGAGCCCTATTCATGGATATGCAGCTGCTGGGGACACCTGAGTTTTCAGATAGCTTTAATCAATTCATTTTTTGCTCTTCCAGATGTGTTTATACCAATGCCAGAGAACTTATTAGTAAACTTAAATGAAAACAAAGAGGTAAGCCCTGTCTTAAATTGTATAGGTGACATTCAGGCCATATGACATGCATTATATAGCTTGTACAGTGCTTAATTATTTAATGTCAACTTAAATCTCACTTGTCTGAATTTCTTGTCTACTTTTATTACAAATATTACTGTAACTGAAATAAATGGCAATAGTTTGTTCAGTTTTACTTTGTGTATTTAATTGCATTGTATTTGGTTAGTGTTGCTGTTTCCCTTCTGTAGTCAGCCCGTTTCATTGTGAAAAGGAAACTCATCTTTCTTCAACAGAGTATAGCTAAACCCCAGAAATTGGCAATGGGACTCCAGGGCAAATGTTGCTCCAAAAACGCCTATAACTCATTTCTGATTGACTACATTTAAAGTTAATGGTATCCTTCTAAAATAAACAGACCTAAATATTTAGAGATAAATGAAGATAACATGTCTCTTACTTAAAATAACAAAAACTTAACATTTTAGCAAGCTTTACGATATTGAGTTCCTAGTTTTTGGTACTATGGATCTTGTTTTATTAGAAGTGGTAGGTTATGTAATACTATAGAATGACATTCTAGGTAAAACGGAGAACTTGTACTATCCTCACATCTTGTTGCAAGGTATTTTAAATGTTACTTTTTGTATATAATATTTAATTAATCTCTTTAATATCAGCAGTACTCAGTGTTACATGCATAATAAATAGCCTGTGCAATAGAGGAGAAATCTCTTCTGAAACTATAATTGAGTAATTTTTTACTTTTATCCCAGCTAATTCAAGATTTACTGAGGACTTTGCCACAGATGTTTACCAAGTCACTGGAAACACAGAGTGCTCTTGGACCTGCGCTGCAGGCTGCCTTCAAATTGATGTCTCCTACTGGTGGTCGAATTTCTGTCTTCCAGACACAGCTTCCATCTTTAGGAGTGGGAGCACTCAAATCCCGAGAAGAACCTAACCAAAGAGCATCTGCAAAGGTTACAAAAACACTGTTTAAACACAAATCCATGAAAACTTACAATCCTGTTGCATGAATTTATATGAATTTTGAATTGTGTGGTTTAGAGTACCTTAGTTTTATTGGAGGTCTATAACAGGAGCTGACATTCTTACACTGTATTAATCAATGTGACTAACAAGGGAACCTATAAACACAGAGTGATACTGATTTTGAAAGATATTGAGAACTCAGAACAGTCATTGAAGTCAGTGAAAGAGATGCATTGCTGAACATCCCTGAAATTAGGTCACAAGAGTGTGGTGCGATTTGGAATCCCTCTTTTCTCTTTCCTTGTATTAACAGGATATACATCTTACACCATCCACTGACTTCTACAAGAAGTTAGCATTGGACTGCTCAGGGCAGCAGGTTGCAGTTGATTTGTTCCTCCTTAGTGGGCAGTATTCTGACTTGGCTTCATTAGGTAAGTCATCACAGGGTACTCCTTAAGATTGTAGCTTCAGTGTTCTTAAGAACACTCTGTAATGCTTAACTTTTTTTTGCTCTTTCACTTGTGCATATTTTACTATTTTAATGTAATGATTTAAAATGGTAACCATGCCCGACAGAGTTAACTATGAGACTGCATGTTCCCCTATCTGCTGTTTGATATTTCTATCAGTAGAGATTTTGATCTTTCATAATAGAAGTTTGGGGATGTCTGGACAAGCTAACTAGCCTGTTTTTTTTCTCTTCTTACCTGAGGGTTGAGATTTTTCTGTCTCTTAGAACATTGTCAGGACTTGTTCCCTAATATTACTAATAAAAATCCAAGTTCTAGAAACATTTAAACAAAGTCCTGCTTAACAGATAGATATATGTTTAAACTATGTGGGTATAATGTCGTCATTTCCAGATTCTGAAAAGCCTCATTAGTATGTACTGTGAGACTATTACTACTCTTAAAAAAAAAAATTGGTAGCTATATCCTTAGATGTCAGAGCAGTTCAAAGTGCAGTATCTGATTGTCTTTTGGATGCTCAAAGAAAGAGTTCTGTTTGTAAAACTTGACCCATCTCTCACCCCCAGTTCATGTCCTGAATTTATATAAAGAGGATTTCTTTGTTCTGGACCTAAACCTAAAATCAGATGCAACGGTGACAAAGCACAGTGTAAGAACCTGAGTAGGGTAGAATTTTTATTCATCATGACTAGGATGAAATTTCATATGGAGATTACTTCAGCCTTAATGGATAATTTCATTGTTAATGAGACATAATAATACAGCTTTCTTCTGGTTAGCATGAGTATTTCCAAGATTCTATTCCCCCTGGACTTATAGGAGTATTTAAGAAGATTATTTTTATTCTGGAATGAGGTGTGTCATTTGAAGGAGAGAGTCTGTTACCTTTCAATGCATGATGGAATAAACACCTTTCTAGGAGCAAGCTTCATTAACATTTTAATTTTTCTCACTCTTGAATTACCTTCTGATTTCTATTCTTGAATGGCATGGTGTCATTTTTCCTTCAGACCAATTTTAAATTTATTTCACATTTTATAATCTTAATTAAGTGAACATGCAAGTTATTTATAACATCGACACAATGTCTGGGCCTATACCTATATAGAATAAGATTATTAATGTTAGACTGTTCATACTTGCAGATAAAATTACAAGAAAAATTAGGTTAATCTGAACTGATATTTAAAGACCACAGCAACAATTGTTGGTTTGAACTCCACTAACGCACATTTTCTGTTCTAGGCTGTATATCAAGGTATTCAGCAGGGAGCGTGTATTACTATCAGTCTTATCATCAGCAGCACAATCCTGTCCTGGTGGAGAAATTACAGAAAGAGCTGAAACGATACTTAACTAGAAAGATTGGCTTTGAGGCTGTCATGAGGATAAGATGCACCAAAGGTCTGAGTAAAATCTTTTTTGCATAGTTTATTGTTTAAAAATGTTTTATTGGCATATTCATAGAATCATAGAATAGAAAGAGCTGAAACGATACTTAACTAGAAAGATTGGCTTTGAGGCTGTCATGAGGATAAGATGCACCAAAGGTCTGAGTAAAATCTTTTTTGCATAGTTTATTGTTTAAAAATGTTTTATTGGCATATTCATAGAATCATAGAATCATAGAATAATAGGACTGGAAGGGACCTCGAGAGGTCATCGAGTCCAGCCCCCCGCCCTCAAGGCAGGACCAAGCTCCGTCTACACCATCCCTGACAGATGTCTATCTAACCTGTTCTTAAATATCTCCAGAGAGGGAGATTCCACCACCTCCCTTGGCAATTTATTCCAATATTTGACCACCCTGACAGTTAGGAATTTTTTCCTAATGTCCAATCTAAACCTCCCCTGCTGCACTTTAAGCCCATTACTCCTTGTCCTGTCCTCAGAAACCAAGAGGAACAAATTTTCTCCTTCCTCCTTGTGACACCCTTTTAGATATTTGAAAACCGCTATCATGTCCCCCCTTAATCTTCTTTTTTCCAAACTAAACAAGCCCAGTTCATGAAGCCTGGCTTCATAGGTCATGTTCTCTAAACCTTTAATCATTCTTGTCGCTCTTCTCTGTACCCTTTCCAATTTCTCCACATCTTTCTTGAAATGTGGCGCCCAGAACTGGACACAGTACTCCAGCTGAGGCCTAACTAGTGCAGAGTAGAGCGGCAGAATGACTTCACGAGTTTTGCTTACAACACACCTGTTGATACAACCTAAAATCATATTTGCTTTTTTTGCAACAGCATCACACTGTTGACTCATATTCAACTTGTGGTCCACTATGACCCCTAGATCCCTTTCCGCCATGCTCCTTCCTAGACAGTCGCTTCCCATCTTGTATGTATGGAACTGATTGTTCCTTCCTAAGTGGAGCACTTTGCATTTCTCTTTATTAAACTTCATCCTGTTTACCTCTGACCATTTCTCTAACTTGCTAAGGTCATTTTGAATTATGTCCCTATCCTCCAAAGAAGTTGCAACCCCACCCAGTTTGGTATCATCTGCAAACTTAATAAGCGTACTCTCTATCCCAATATCTACATCATTGATGAAGATATTGAACAGTACGGGTCCCAAAACAGACCCTTGCGGAACTCCACTTGTTATCCCTTTCCAGCAGGATTTAGAACCGTTAACAACAACTCTCTGACTACGGTTATCCAGCCAATTATGCACCCACCTTATCGTGGCCCTATCTAAGTTATATTTGCCTAGTTTATCAATAAGAATATCATGCGAGACCGTATCAAATGCCTTACTAAAGTCTAGGTATATGACATCCACCGCTTCTCCCTTATCCACAAGGCTCGTTATCTTATCAAAGAAAGCTATCAGATTAGTTTGGCATGACTTGTTCTTCACAAACCCATGCTGGCTATTCCCTATCACTTTATTACCTTCCAAGTGTTTGCATATGATTTCCTTAATTACCTGCTCCATTATCTTCCCTGGGACAGACGTTAAACTGACCGGTCTGTAGTTTCCTGGGTTGTTCTTATTCCCCTTTTTATAGATGGGCACAATATTTGCCCTTTTCCAGTCTTCTGGAATCTCCCCTGTCTGCCATGATTTTTCAAAGATCATAGCTAAAGGCTCAGATACCTCCTCTATCAGCTCCTTGAGTATCCTGGGATGCATTTCATCAGGACCTGGTGACTTGCTGACATCTAACTTTCCTAAGTGATTTTTAACTTGTTCTTTGTGTATCCTATCTTCTAAACTTACCCTCTCTCTGCTTGTATTCACTACGTTAGGCACACCTCCAGACTTCTCGGTGAAGACCGAAACAAAGAAGTCATTGAGCATCTCCGCCATTTCCAAGTTCCCTGTTACTGCTTCTCCCTCCTCGCTAAGCAGTGGGCCTACCCTGTCCTTGGTCTTCCTCTTGCTTTTAATGTATTTATAAAAGGTCTTCTTGTTTCCCTTTATGCCTGTAGCTAGTTTGATCTCATTTTGTGCCTTTGCCTTTCTAATCTTGCCCCTGCATTCCCGTGTTGCTTGCCTATATTCATCCTTTGTTAGTTGTCCTAGTTTCCATTTTTTATATGACTCCTTTTTTATTTTGAGATCGTGCAAGATCTCCTTGTTAAGCCAAGCTGGTCTTTTGCCATATTTTCTATCTTTCCTACACAGCGGAATTGTTTGCTTTTGGGCCCTTAACAACGTCCCTTTGAAATACTTCCAACTCTCCTCAGTTGTTTTTCCCTTCAGTCTTGCTTCCCATGGGACCTTACCTACAAGTTCTCTGAGCTTATCAAAATCTGCCTTCCTGAAATCCATTACCTCAATTGTGCTGGTCTCCCTTCTACCTTTCCTTAAGATCATGAACTCTATTATTTCGTGATCACTGTCCCCTATACTGTCTTCCACTTTCAAGTTCTCAACTAGTTCCTCCCTATTTGTTAAAACCAAATCCAGAACAGCTTCTCCTCTGGTAGCTTTTTCAACCTTCTGAAACAGAAAGTTGTCTCCAATGCAGTCCAGAAACTTATTGGATAGCCTGTGCCTCGCTGTGTTAGTTTCCCAACATATGTCTGGATAGTTGAAGTCCCCCATCACCACCAAATCTTGGGCTTTGGATAGTTTTGTTAATTGTTTAAAAAAGGCCTCATCCACCTCTTCCACCTGGCTAGGTGGCCTGTAGTAGACTCCTAGCATGATATCACCCTCGTTTTTTACCCCTTTTAGCTTAACCCAGAGACTCTCTACACAGCTATCTCCTACGTTCATCTCCACTTCAGTCCAAGTGTGTACATTTTTAATATACAAGGCAACCCCTCCTCCCTTTTTTCCCTGTCTGTCCTTCCTGAGCAAGCCGTACCCTTCCATACCAATATTCCAATCATGCGTCCCATCCCACCAGGTTTCTGTAATACCAATGATATCATAGTTGTATTTATTGGTTAGCAATTCCAGTTCTTCCTGCTTATTACCCATACTTCTCGCATTTGTATATAGGCATCTAAGATACTGATTTGATCTTGCCTCCCTGTTGTGCCCTGACCCTCCTTTCTCCTTGCCATTATAGGCCGTAGTCCCCCCCATTTCCAACCCATCTCCCAGTCCCGCACATTCAGCACTTACCTGTGGGCTTTGCTCACCTGCCCCCGACAAACCTAGTTTAAAGCCCTCCTCACAAGGTTAGCCAGTCTGTGTCCAAACAAGGCCTTCCCGCTCCTGGAAAGGTGAACTCCATCTCCGCCAAGCAGTCCTTCCTGGAAGAGCACCCCGTGATCAAGGAAGCCGAATCCCTCCTGGCGACACCATCGTCGCAGCCAGGCATTCACCTCCAGGATGCACCTCTCTCTGCCCGGGCCCCTACCTTTGACAGGAAGGATAGAAGAGAATACCACCTGCGCTCCAAACTCCTTCACCCGTACTCCCAAAGCCCTGTAGTCACACTTGATCCGCTCAGTGTCACACCTGGCAGTATCATTTGTGCCCACGTGGATGAGTAGCATGGGGTAGTAGTCAGAGGGCCGGATAATCCTCGACAATGCCTCCGTAACATCTCGAATACGGGCCCCTGGCAGACAGCATACCTCTCGAGATGAGCTGTCAGGGCGACAGATGGGTGCCTCCGTTCCCCTCAGAAGAGAGTCTCCAACCACCACTACCCTACGTTTCCTCCTCGCAGTGGTGGCAGGAGACTGCTCAACCTTGGTGGTGCAAGGCCTAATAATGAAATAATGAATTTCTTCACACAATTCAGTCAACTTGTGGAACTCATTGCCAAAGGATGTTGGAAAGGTTAAAGGAAAACTGGGTTCAAAAAAGAATTAGATAAATTCATGGATCAACAAATTCATGGACTCCAATCACTGTTCACTGGTCAACAGTCCCACATCCTAGGACAGTGACCTCCGTGGACTCCACAGGAATACTGTCCAGGAATTCCTCATGGCTTCGAATGCTCCTCAGCCTGGCCACCTCCTCCTGTAGCTCTCCCACCTGCTGCCTGAGAGATTCCACCAGCAGGCACCTTTCACAACGGTTGTCTCCCCCAGCCTGGAGATCACTCAGTGGGAATTGCAAGCCACAAATACAGCAAGACCACACCAGGACCTGGGTAGAGGCATCCATGCTCAGGTTCTCTGTCTGGATACAGGCACAGGTGGAGGAGACAGGAGAAGTACTGGCACAAGCGCTACGGGTCTTCATCACCATCAGTCACTCCCTCTGCTCAACTCCCTCTTCAACTCCCCTGTCTGCAGTCCCCTGTCTGCAGTCCCCTGTCCGCTTCGCTCCCCTGGTCGCACTGCTCTGGCTTTTTAAAGCCTGCTTGCCTAGGTCAGGCCTGCCCCCTTCTGAGTCACACAGGGGAAGGCTGTTACTATTATTTTTATGTAAGCCTGAATGAATAGTTGGCAGATGTAAAATCTGGCATTAAGAATCCAACTGTACAAAAGAGAGCTGAACTGGTAGTACTGCATAAAAGAATTTATCAGTGGTGTTTAGGAGTAGTATCTATGGCTTGCCAAGGCTAGAAATAGGTGCTTCGTTATCATGTACTTCTATATGCTCCTCAAGTAAAAATAAGGATTTCATAACTTAATGTTCCTGCTGCATAGTTAATTTTCAAAACTGTGTCCTGCCCTGTGGTTAAACCAGAAGCCTGACTTTTCAGTTTTTCATAAGCTAGAAAAATAAGGCAAGCTCTTCACTGTCTTGCACCTTTATTTAAAAACGACAGAAAAGCATTCTAGCAGTGTACTGTAACAAGGCTCCTGTGCCTTGGGTCTAACTGAATTCAGTATCCTTCAGTATGTAATGAAGTGTAATAGGGTTGTCAGTAAATTTCAATTAATTTGCACAGTTAACTTAAAACATTAGTCACTGTTCTAATTTCACTGTTAAGCAATAGAATGCCAACTGAAATTTAATGTTTTGGAGTGTTTTTCTACATTTTCAAATATATTGATTTCAGTTACAACACAGAATACAAAGTGTACGCTGCTTACTTTATATTACGATTTGTATTACAAATATTTGCAGTAATAAACATGAAATGGTATTTTTCATTTCACCTCATAAAGGTGCTGAGGTGCAATCTCTTTATTGTGTAAATGCAACGTACAAATGTAGATTTTGTTTTGTTACATAACTGCACTCAAAAACAAAACAAAATATAAAACTTGAGTCTAAATGTCCACTCAGCCTTGTGTCTTGTTCAGACAGTTCCCTAGGTAAACATGTTTGTTTATGGAAGATAATTCTGCCCACTTCTTATTTACAGTATCACCAGAAAGTGAGTAACAGGTGTTTGTATGTCACTTTTATAGCTAGTGCCAGATATGCTAACCCTTCATATGTCTCTTCATGCTTTGGCCACCATTCCAGAGGGTATATTTCCATTTTGATGATGCTCATTTAAAAAAAATGCAATAACTAAATTTGTGACTGAACTTCTTGAGGGAGAATTGTATGTCTCCTGCTCTGTTTTAGCTGCATTCTGCTATGTACATCATGGTATAGTGGTCTCAGATGATGACCCGGCACACGTTCATTTTTAAGAATGCTTTCTCTGCAGATTTGATAAAATGCAAAAATTTCTAAAGATAATTATAGCCAGGGCTTGACAATCTATGTAAACTACTCGCCCAAGCCGAGTAGATTACATCCCGGAAGAGCCAGGTTTGGGCGATCTACACATGCGGAGAACGATCTGTGCATGCGCAAAATGCCGGATAGTGTGGCTGGCAAGCGGGGCTCGCTGCAGCTCGGCGAGCCCTGGTTGTAGCACTCAAATCTGAAGTGTCTTCCAAAATCTGAGAGGGATGACATATTGAGCATGCTTTCAGAAGTCTTAAAAGAACAACATTCCAATGTGGAAATTAAAGGACCTGAACCACCAGAAAAGAAAATCAGCCTTCTGCTGGTGGCATCTGACTCAGATGATGAAAATGAATGAGGGTCAGTCTGCACTGCTTTAGATTGTTATCAAGCAGACTGAGCTTCGATGCATGGTGGTTGAAATATAAAAGGACATAGGAGTCTTTAGCACATCCAGCTCATAAATATCCTGCGAGGCAAGCTACAACAGTGCCATGCGAGTGCTTGTTCTCAATTTCAGGTGAGACTGTAGACAAGAAACAGGCAGCATTATCCCTTGCAAATGTAAACAAACTTGTTTGAGTGATTGTCTGAACAAGAAATAGGACTGAATGGACTTATAGGCTCTAAAGTTAATTTTTAAAATTCCGTTCTTTTTGTACTTCTACGTTTGTAAGTTATGCTTTTACAATAGAGAGATGGCACTACCGTACTTGTATTTGGTGAATTGAATAATACTATTTTGTTTTTACAGTACAAATATTTGTAATAAATGTAAAGTGAACAATGTATACGTCATATTCTCTTGTAATTAAAATCTATATATTTGAAAATGTAGAACACACCCAAAATATTTAAATAAATGGTATTCCATTATATTTTCATAGCATGATTAATCATGATTAATTTTTGTAATTGTTCGACAATCCTAATTTATAACCTTTTTAGAACTTTGAACTACTGGTTCCCAAGGCTAGTGCTTACACTGAAAGAATATTTGCTATGCTATATACACAATTGTCCCTTAAATGACTGATCCTATCGTGTTCTATACTAGAAATATCAACCAATTATGACTCGGCGTCAAAGAAATTTGGGGCACTTATTTATCTTTGAGCTAACTTGCATTTTGAGTGCTTGGTTATTTTTTGCACATTGTACAAATGAGTATGCAGCTTGAGATTTATATTTACTAAATGAACTGTATTTTGAAAAGGGTTTGTCATTATCTAGAGTAAAACACAATCTAAAAATTAGGGCATCTATGTAATCAGTTCATAGTTTAGATTAGATTGTAAAAGTAACATTAATAAAACAGACCAGATGGTTTTCCCTTTCATAGGTCTTTCCATTCATACCTTCCATGGGAACTTCTTTGTGCGATCAACAGACTTGTTGTCTTTACCCAATGTAAACCCGGATGCAGGATATGCTGTACAAATGTCAGTAGAAGAAAGTCTCACTGACATGCCAGTTGTTTCTTTTCAGTCAGCACTACTGTACACATCCAGCAAAGGTAAGAAATGTAAGCAGCATATGATGTGCTAGATGCCATGGTATGTAATTTCTTAAATTATAATCTAGTTTGCTTGTACTACAGTTGAAGTTACTTGCTTATCTTAATAACCCTCCCCTTATCCCCTCCCAAGAGAGGTTGAGAGTACTAGTAAGCCAGCACACTCATTCCTCAGCTGCTCTTGGTGATGGTGGTTATACATTATTCTGCAGCTGCATTTTGGGAGTTTACAGATTTGCTGGAAAACGTGCTCTAAACAGAAATGGTCAACTTTAGCTCGGTTAACCTGGCTGCTTAACAGCTGTTAGTTTAAAATACTTGTGAGACAAGTTAATGTGGTAATAAATCAGTTTTGTATGGTATTTATCTGAAATAGACTAATTGCTTTTGGTAAGTTGAACAAAAAATATACTCTTAAATAAATTAATTTTAAAAAATCAGAGTTGCTGCAAGTTGTAGTGTGCAAACTTCATTTTTGCTCCATTTGCGGTTCCCTCCTCCTCACTCCAAAATGCAGCTTTGATGATGTGGTGTGGAAAATGCCATTTGGAGACTACAAAGATTAATTTTCTCCCTATAGGTGAAAGAAGGATTCGAGTCCACACTATGTGTTTACCTGTTGTTACAACATTGAGTGATGTCTATCTGGGGGCTGACGTACAAGCTATTACAGGCTTACTAGCCAATATGGGTAAGCATGATGCTCTGATATACATGTGTAACATTTTTAAAAATTCTGAGGAACAACCCTTTAGGAAGCAAGATTACAAAGGGTTCAGAAGGGTCTTTCCTTCTGAATGGTTGAAGGCATTTAGCCATATTGTTTAAAGCTCTTTTGATGTGTGTAGATAAGAGTACAACTGTATAGTCTCTTTGTATGGTATGTAAATGTGAACTTCAGAAGTTAGAGCAGCAATTAGGACTCCTGGATATTTTTATTCTAGGCTGTACTATTAATGTTCCCATGCCTTCTGATGGCATAGGGAAGCTCTATTAATGTCTGCTTATAGCCATTTTAAGATCCTGAGATGAGCTGCTAAAGATGTATAAAATAATACTTGTCAATAATTTCTAAAAAAGAAATTAGGTATAACTTGCTGTTGAACACGTACGTGTGTGTGTGTGTGTGTGTGTGTGTGTGTGTACACACTCTCTCACACTCTCTTGTGTTCCTTTTTAGCTGTGGACCGGTCAGTTTCTGCTAGCTTGAGTGATGCCCGAGATGCCTTGGTGAATGCTGTAATTGATTCCCTATCTGCTTACCGATCTTCAGTCCTAAGCATTCAGCAGCCTGGTCTGATGGCTCCGTATTCCCTACGATTCTTTCCACTTCATGTACTGGCTCTCTTAAAACAAGTAAGAATGAAATCTTTCCAGAGGATGTTATTTTTGTATTCAGTATGTCAGAACCTGGCACAATGAGGCCCTGAAAAGTTTCTGTGAGATGAAATTATATATGTATAGTTTTGGCAACATTTGGAGTGGGGGAGGTTCTTCATTAGTTTACATCGAGTTGAATTAAAACCAGCCATCTCTCCATATGATATTGCGGTACTTCAGGTTGTTAGGCATTTAAGATGATAGCCTTTTCTGGTATAAATGGGACAGCTCTGGAACCAACTTATTATCTCACTTCCCTAGTCCTGGAAATTGTGATTTTTTTTTTTCCTTCAGTACCATTGCAAAGCAACATTGCTTGTTCATCTGGGTTTTCCTTGGGGATAGCTGTAGTAGAAGATGGCTTGGGTGTCTGTCAGCCACCAAAAAAGGGTTTTTTTTTTTAAATAAGATCTAAATGTGCCTAAAGTATAGGCTGTGTTTATGTACTGCATAAGTATAGACTGTATTTATGAATTGCATCCAGTGCTTATGTCAGATGCATTTATTGTAAAGCTTGAATTTTTATGAACAGTGTAGGGATGTGGTATAGTTGTGGCATGGGGTGCCATGGCAGAAAGAAGGGGCTTCTGTTCCATGTATAGAGCTGCAGCAGTTTAGGATGAAAAATATGGTAAAAATAGCACCACAAAGATAGAGCTTATAGAACAAGAAGTTTGTGTGCCTGATAGTGCATTGGTATTGAGGCACTGGGCAGGCAAGAGAAGGGGAAGCAAAAGAAAGCAGGAGTAGGGAGCAATACGGAGAGACTTGCTGTTGTTGTGAGACACCCCTGACTGCTAGCCAGGGGAATGTGCAGCTCTATGCTGCTGCCAAGACAAATCCAGACAATAGCTTAATGTGGAGTATGGGGGGGAGTGAGCTTGGAAAGAACTGATCTTTTGGCTTTTTGTCCTTGTGGGTGCTTTGGTGTTGGGCTTGTCCTGGCATCACAGAGCAGAGATCTTTTTAGCAGTGTCTGGCCGGGCTGTGCATGCAGAGTGGTGGGGGCACGTGCCATTTGCACTTCTGCAGTTCTGTGCACAGCCCATCTGCCCTCAGTTCCTTCATTACCGCCTCGAGTCACAGACAGAGCTCAAGTCCTCTCCTCCCTTGAGATTCTTAGACACAAGATTTTACTTAGAATTGTTTTTATTTAACAGTTTTCTGTTGTTCCTACTACTTAGTTTAGTCACTACTTTAAAAAAAAAAAGTTCTCCTGTAAATAGTTGATTTAATGTTCTTCTGAAGGAGACGCGCCATTAGTCTCCAGCCGGTGGCCCCTCAGGCCTTCGTTTAAAAAAAAGAGAGTTGGAAGATAGGAGGGAATACTACATAGAAAATTAAAAGTCAAAGCCTCTCTCTTGAATGGCTTCATTTCACACCATTAAAAAAACAACAAAAAAGCCACCTTGCATGCACAAAAGAAAAGGAGAAGAAAGAATCAAGATGAACAGACAAAGAATTGCAGACAACATGCCTGCGCCCTGGGTTTTAAAAATGTGCGATGCCACAACCCAATGCCTCCCTCAGATGGCCATGAGTCTCCGATACGTTGTCTGGGTGAGGCCCATGCTACTCAGAAATAAATATATACACTGCTGCAGTCTCCCTGCCAGAGCCCACAAAGACAGGGAGCTGAGGCTGTGTATGTTACTTAAGCCCCAAAACAGAAGGGATGAATGCAGCCAGGCTGACAAGGCTAGCAGTCAGGCTAAGGACTTGAGCTCCTCACTGCCCAAGTCCACAAAGAGGGTTTCCCCAGCCCACTCCCTACCTCTGAGAATGAGTATGGGAGATAAGCCAGGCACCTCCGGCACTGGACACCCCTGTGCCATGCCAGTAGTGGATCCAAAGCAGTGCACTGCCCAGAAGATGGTACACCATCCTCCGCACCAAAAAAGGCAGCTACCAGGGAACTAGATAGGCCCTTGGCACCGGAGACACTGGTGGCGCTGGATAAGACCTTGGCACTGGCAAAATCAAAATCTGTTAAGCCCTTGCCCTGCGCACTGATCCCAGAACTGTAGCCTTCTCCACCGGCACCAATTCCCCCCCCCCCCCTTGGCACTGAGCTCTATGGCATCGCATAGTATTTCCTCTGGCCACCATAGTTCTTCCGTGATTACCACAAGCCACTATTGAGTATGGCACCATGACTGAGAAGCCTGCATGGCTCTCCCCCGAAGCATTGCTCTCCTCTTCCTTTGTCCATAAGAAGTTCTCCGCCTCGATCACTGGTGTTATCCCATTATAGTGGCTATGAGGATGACCAGAGGAGTGTATTTTCTTCCCAACACTCCTCTCCCGCTAGAGCACGTGTCTTATAACAGACATCAACCACGGTATGATCATCGTCCTCCATGGTACCCAAACTGGTCCTACTGTCCCCACTACTCTCCTCACTGGTCCCCATGTCACTTTTGGGCACCCCCATGGCACTGACCAATGGCACCATCAATGCCAGCTCATAGGCTGATACCTGTCTCATCCTCTTAGCTCTCCTTAGCCGAATAAGGACATAGAGACAGAGGACGGCCAAATTACTTTAGGATGGCAAGGCAGAACAACCTGATGTCTTCTCCACTTGATAAGTTCTCTTCCTCACCTGATGAGGCTGTCGTTCCAAATTACCCAATGCCCACTGAGGACCTGAAGCAATTTCAGGACCTGTTTAAGAGAGTCACTACCAGCCCAGAGATGGTACAGTAGACTTCCAATAATCCGGCATCTTTGGGACCCAGGGGGTGCCGGATTATCGGATATGCCAGAGTATCAGGAGGTACTCTGGCAGGGGGCTGTAATGGGTCTGCCTGGACCTGCACTGCGACCAGCGGGGCACTGGGGGGCGGGGGGCGTCGGCGGGGACCGGCGTGGCGAGGGGCGAACCCTCTACCGTTTTGCAGGGAGGCAGGGGAAGCCCTGTGCAGCCACTGGCAACAGGCCAGCTGGGGCTGCAAGCGGCAGTGCCAGACTTGGTGAAGTGGCAGGGTAGAGCAGCTGGGGTGCTGCCAGGTTTGGTCCCGCAGTGCTGCCCCTCACCTGAGCGGCTATGCGGGACCAACCTGGCAGCACCTCAGCTGCTCTGCTCTGCCACTTCCCCAAGTCTGATGCTGCCATTGGCTGCTTGCCTGCAAGCAGCCGCGGCGGACTTGGGGAAGCGGCGGGGCAGAGCAGCTAGTGTGCTGCTGGGTTGGTCCCGCAGCGCCACCCCTCGCCTCGCCCCCCTCTCCTCCACCGCCACTTGCACCCCCAGTTGGCCTGTAGCAGGCAGCTGCGCGGGGTTTTCCCTGCCTCTCTGCAAAACGGTGGAGGGTTCACCCCTCACCGTGCCGTTCCCTGCCCCCCGGCCAGATGCAGCGCGGGTCCCGGCAGATGCGTCACAGGGGTATAATCCTTTCCCCCTCTCCTCCCCTTCCCTTTCCCAGCCCGTGAGCGCATGTGGGCTCACAGGAGCTCCAATTGTCTGGCTGGCTGGAGCACTTCCGGGTTCCAGTTGGTGCCGGACTATCAGGAGTGTCGGACCACTGGATGCCGGACAATTGGAGTTTTACTGTATTATCAGAAGTACAGTAGAAACATCACACTACTAAAAAACCTCCTGCCTGCCTCAATCGAGGATCACCCTTCCGATAGCTGAAGCAATTGTGGAAGCGGTGAAAAAGGTCTGGTAGACACCAGCCTCAAACACCCCCCTATCCTCTCCTCCCAAACAAACAAGTGAGCCAATAGGAAATATTTCATTCCATCCAAAGGTATGGACTTTTTTTCCTCCACCCACAGCCAAATTAAATGCGGCACAACCCAGGGCTGAAACCCCTCAATACAAATCTGTTCAGCATGAAAAAGACCGTAAGTGTCTGGACACATTTGGTAGGAAAATGTATTCCTCATCCACACTCCATCTTAGAATAGCGAGCTATACTGTGTTACTTGCTAATCACATCTTTGACAACACAAAACTAAATGAGCTCATTCAACACCTTCTGGATGCAAAAAGAGCTATCCTGAAGTCAGTCATTCAAGAGGTCTGCACTATATCATGCACAGCCTCCAAATGGCACTTGACTCAGCGGATACATCTGTACGAACAACTGCAGCCTCCATTGTCACGAGGCACTCATCATGGCTTCAAGTGGTGGGAGTTCCAAAGGATCTTCAAACCAAGGTGGAGGATCTCCCATTTGACAAAGAAAAACTTTTTGCTACCAAGACCAGTGAGGTCCTCCATTCCAGCAAGGACTCCTGCACAACAACATGTACATTAGGAAGGTATACACCTCCTTATTGACGGAAGTATTATATGCTCTACCAGAGAGAGCGTGATTTCTCATATGGCAGACAGTAGTAAAGGCCATTTGATCAATACTTCTCTAGGCCCAGAAATCGATGCCAGCAGGCTCCCAACAATCGCTCGTCCACATAGCAAGCCTTTAAGCAGAAGATTTGAGGCTTTGGTTGAGGGCCAGCATTACCGCTCCACTCTACCAGTGCCTTGCAAACGCGAGACGTTCCACCATTTGTACCCCTTTTTTAGTCAATGGGCAACAATTACCACAGGCCTTAAATCTTGGATATCATTGAATGCGGATACTCCCTTACACTCACCACTATTCTGCCAACTTTCCCACCCTCCCCGTTTTTCAGGGATCCACTCTCACAAAATACTACTTTGTCAAGAAGTAGAACATCTCTTTCACATAGAAGTAGCAGAAAGTGTTCCAGAAAGACATCAGGACAGGGGTTTTTACTAAAACAATTTTCCTATAGAAAAAAGAATGGGTGGGTGGAAACCGATCCTTGATCTTTGACAGCTAAACAAATACCTCCACAAGCAACAGTTCAAGATGATCACACTCATGTCAGTCATCCCAGCACTGCATGAGGGAGACTGGTTTGCAGTCCTCAACCTCCAAGACGCCTACTTCCACATTACAATTCACTCGATGTTTTCTATGGTCACCTCAGAACAGTTCCAGTATCAGGTCCTGCCTTTTGTATGCTTCCACTCCCATGGTATGTCTACACTACCCTCCTAGTTCGAACTAGGAGGGTAATGTAGGCATCCCGCACTTGCAAATGAAGCCCGGGAAATTCAAATCCCGGGCTTCATTTGCAAGTGCGGGATGCCTACATTACCCTCCTAGTTCGAACTAGGAGGGTAATGTAGGCATCCCGCACTTGCAAATGAAGCCCGGGAAATTCAAATCCCGGGCTTCATTTGCAAGTGCGGGATGCCTACATTACCCTCCTAGTTCGAACTAGGAGGGTAATGTAGGCATCCCGCACTTGCAAATGAAGCCCGGGAAATTCAAATCCCGGGCTTCATTTGCAAGTGCGGTATGCCTACATTACCCCGCTAGTTCGAACTAGCGGGGTAGTGTAGACATACCCCCAGAGTCTTCTCTAGGATGCTGGCACTAGTTACAGCATTCCTACAGCACAGAGGCACCATGATTTTTCTTTACCTGGACAATTGCCTCATACGAGGCGCTTCCTGACAAGCCACAGAGAACATGGTTCTATTTGCTTAGAGGCTGTTCGATTCTCTCAGCCACATCATAAACCACCAGAAGTCCACCCTGAACCCTGCCCAATCTCTGGAGTTCATAGGCGGCATCCTGGATTCCCTGACAGCACAGAGACTTATCTTCTGCTTTGGGGCAATCAGAAGCTTGGTGTCCATCATAGTGTCAAGCCCTACAGTACCTGTACTCACCTATATCCACCTCATGGGCCATATGGCCACCACAACATACGTAGTTAAACATTCTCTATTGTGCATTTGCTGCCTCCAACACTGGCTCGGTTCAGTGTACATACCTTCCAAACACGTGGTCACAAGTATGGTACCCCTAAGGGTCCTCACTTCGTTGCAATGGTGGACCAGCCTGGGCAACCTTCTTGCAGATGTCCCATTCCACCAAACCCAGTTGTTGAGCCAGATTACTACCGATGCTTCTCTGCTTGCTTGGGGCATGCAACTACTCCCATCATTTCATTCAAGGCAGATGATCTACGCAGGAGTTCCGGTTACACATCAACCTCTTGGAGCTCTGAGCTGTCCACAATGCTTGCAGACATTTTCTTCAACCTATCCAGTGTTTTACCTCACCAACAATACGACCACTATGTTTTACCGCAACGGTCAGGGTGGCATCCGTTCTTTCCCTCTGTGCTGAAGCGTTAACGCCTGTGGAAATCGTGTATCCAGAACAGTGTCAACATCGATGCATCATACTTCCCCGGCATCAAGAATATTACAGCAGATTCCCTCCACCATTACTTCTCGATAGACCACAAATGGGGGATCCATGCGCGAGTTCTACAAGAAATCTTTCATCATTGGGGTTTCCCATCTACAGATCTCTTTGCACCAAGTGTGCCCAGTTTTGTTCCAGAGCTGGCATAGGTCCCAGATCATTGGGTGACATCTTCCTAATTCCATGGGAGGTCCCTCTCCATTACACTTTTCCTCCCATTGCATTCATAGCTGGAGTCCTCAGATCAAATCAGATGGGGCCCGAATCACCCTCGTAACGCTGGCATGGGCCTGACAGACTTGGTTTCCCTCTCTCTCTCAAATGTGTCTCCGACCTCCTTATCCTTTTCCAGTTCACCCAGATCTCCTATCCCAAAACAGAGGAACCCTTCTCCATCCCAAACCAGAGACTCTCCATCTGACAGCATGGTTCCTATCTGGTTCTCGGAGGCAGAGAAAAGATGTTCCCAACAAATGTAAGCCTTCCTACTCCAGACTAGGAGACAGACTACTGGCAACACTTACCTCTATAAGTGGAAGAGCACTACTGGCAACACTTACCTCTATAAGTAGAAGTGCTTCACATTCTGGTGTGGGACCAAGTGCATACAATCTTCTGATGCTCCTCTTTTTATAATCCTTGATTATATCATGCACCTGAAACAACAAGGCATGTCAATCTCCTTGCTAAGAGTTCACTTAGCTGTGCTTTCAGAATCCCACCCCCCTATTGGGATTTCGTTCTTTGCACACCTGATTTCCAAAAGGCTCCTTAAGGGACTGAGATTGACTAATCTCAATCCTCCATGTACGCCTATAGCCCCAATGTGGGATTTAAGCCTGGTGCCCAACTCTCTAACTAGACCACGTTCGAGCCCTTGGCCAAATGCTCCCTTTCTCTATTAACAGCAAACTCTGTATTTTTAATAGCAATCACATCTACAAGATGTGTTAGCAAGATTGTTGGTCTCAGAGCCTCTCCACCCTATACTGTATTTCAGAAGGACAAAGTAATCCTTTGGCCTCACCCTTCCTTTCTGCCGAGAGTTCACTCCAATTTCCATATTAATGAGCCCATCATCCTACCAGCTTTCTATCCAAAGCCTCATGCTACCTGTGAAGAGGCCATTCTATATACCCTCAACGTACGCAGGGCTCTATCATTCTAAATAGGCTGCACGCACTCCTTTCACAAATCACACATTTTATTTTTCTCTTGCTGAACATTGTTCCGGAGTGCCTCTCTCTTCAGTGCATTTCCAGGTTGATTCTTTTATTTTTCTCTTGCTGAACATTGTTGCGGAGTGCCTCTCTCTTCTCAGTGCATTTCCAGGTTGATTTCATGAGCTGTAGCTGCCTCAACAGCATTCCTCAAAGGCATTCCTTTTAAGGACATTTGCTGTGCAGCCACTTGGTCATCTAAATGTACCTTCATGCGACATATGCAATTTCCACAAGGATGGCCACGAGTTCTGCTGTTGCCAGTGCAGTTCTTTCCACTTCTCACAAGAGCTGAACCAAAGCCCACCTACCAGTTTATGTAGTCAGCAACAGTGGAGCACCCACGGGAACATCACTCGAAGAAGAAAAGGAAGTTATTCACCTTGTGCAGTAACAACGGTTCTTTGAGATGTGTGTCCCTGTGGCTGCTCCACGGCTCACCTGTCCTCCCCACTTCACTTCTTTGGATCATCACTATCAAAATCTGCCTACATGAAAAAAACTGAGGCAGATGGGCCATGTACTCCAACTGCAAAAGCGCAAATAGCACGTGCTTCCTCCCTTCTCTCCTCCCCCTCTCTCCCCCGGCGCATTCACAGCCTGGCCAGACACTGCTAGAAAGGTCTCTGATCTGCAGCACTGGGACGAGCCTGACACCAACAGTGGAGCACCCACGGGGACACACCTCTCAAAGAACTGTCGTTACTGCACAAAGTGAGTAACTTCCTTATTTTGCACCGGTCTTGAGTCTTTTCTACACTAGAAAACAGAACACTTGCTGAAAATGGCTTTCAACAGAAGATCCCCCTGAAACAGTATAGAAAATGGTTAGTGTTAGGATAGTTTACTTTTTCCAAAGCAGTATGATCCAGACCTGATGGAATCATGTCTCCCTCTCTCACTTTCTCAGATGATACTAAAAACTCTTGTCAAGTCTCGCTACTCTGGCTGTGTATATACTGGGGAGATTTGATCTCTTTAATAGGGGCATGATCAGACACTTGAGCAGTGTGCAATACTTGTTTGGGATGGGGTCCTCCCAAGCCTTCTAAAGGGGGGAGGACTAAGGGGATAACTGCCCCTGGCCCAAGGATTCGAAAGAGCCTGGGGTTCCCAGTCACTGCTACTGTAGCAGGGGTGGTGTCTGAGCACCAGGCCCTCTAAATCGTTGCCAGAGTCCCAGACTGCTCTGAGGGCTGTCTGGGAAGGCAGGGTTATGGTGTGCTCCAGGCAGTACTGAGGGCTGTGGGAGGAGAGGGTGCTGCAGTCTGGGCAGTGCTGAGAGCCAGCTCCTCTTCCCCCCTCCATCCCTTCCCCAGGCCCAGTCCCTACCAAGAGTGCCGGGGCCCAGCTGTCAGCTCCCCTCAGTTCTGCTTCAACAACAGTTCAGCTGCTTTGTGTTTGTAAGCCAATGGAGTGGTGTTTTGCCCTGATGGTAAACACTTTAACAGAGATGTGCATTAGAGCCAAAGGACTAAGCATAACAAGTCTTTGGATTTCTATTTTAAGTTATCATTATGTAGCTTTTTGAGACAAAGTAGTGAGCGTAAGTTTATTTAAAATCCATCTAAATATGCTATCATTGCAATTCGACTCTTTAGAAAGTGTTCTACAGACATAGGACCAGCATATATTACACTGTTACATTAGTGGTTCCAGAGTTCAAACATAAACATACACTGCTTGAATTATTAGTCACAATGCTATTTGCCTGTAAATAATATAAAAAAAACTTGCTTTGAGTGTAGATAACCAATTGAGAAATGTGGATAAATTAAGGGGAGAGAACTGACTGTTGTAATGAAGACTTTTATTACTATATTTTCGGGTCAAAGTAATTCTAGCAAAATTTTGCATAGGACTCAAAATATTTCATAATGTATGTAATCAAAAGCAGATACAGGCAATATAATATTGTATAGACATCTTAAAATGTGTGATACTCTTTCTAATGCTTCTTACTTATCAACTTTGAATTAAAAACATACTAAATTATTTCAAATGTTGGTTTTATTTACAGAAAGCATTCCAGACTGGGACAAATATCCGTTTAGATGAGCGTATTTTTACTATGTGTCAAGTGAAAAACCAGCCCCTAATTTACCTCATGCTTATGACCCATCCCAATCTGTACAGAGTTGACAATCTCACAGATGAGGTATATTTTTTTTATTCGTTGCACTTGTTTGTTATTGCTTGATTCCTTTATTTATAGTGAAGACTATGTATTGCATAGAAAACCTTTTAAATAAGAACTGTATTCTTCAAGGGATGTAGTCTGAGATCTCCCAGCTGGTCACAAGGAGTTTTAAAGATGCATCCAAGCAATGTATCTTTCAAGTGTCAAGGAATTTGCCTTTAAGTCACATGACATGAACCATGATATGTGTATGTCAATTAAAAATATTATAAAGGCTGATGCACTAACTGCCATTCCATGTAACCCAATTTATTCTAAATCAAGTTTTGCAGCAATAATTCAGAAGCACTACATTCATGAATTGTAAGTTGTTGGAGGAAGAGTTATTGGATTGCATTTCAGACTATGTTGAAGCATGTATTAGTTTACAAATACCTTAAACCATATATATGAGATGATCTCCCTTATTTGGCAGGTTGGCTGTTAGGATTTGGCCCTGTGGTGGAGGGAAAATTACATAATGATCATGAGGAGTCCTCCCTTTCATTGACTTCCTCTCCTGATGGGAGGAAAGTTGATTTGATATAGATGGGGCTGGAGAGAACGTTTGTCTAGAGTGGAGTGTTAACCACAGTGTGGTTTGGATTGCACTTTGAAAAATATAGCTGGCATTTTGATTTAAAAATAATCTATCACATTACAAAACACATCCCCTTACCAGGGAGCAGGTGCAGCAGAAATTGTTTTAAGTGTTGTACAACGTCCTTTTTAAAAAAAAGTCCTATAATTCCTTGAGCCAGTATGTGTATGAATTATATGGTGCAGGTCGACTAATACTATAAATCCAGACCTTGAAATCTGTGGATTTTTTAGGCTAACGTTATTTATGACGTTTTTAAAAGGGAATCAATTTCATTAAGACAAAATACTGGGTTTTTTATAATAAAGTATGTTATCTGATTTGTAAGAATATAAAAGGCAGCACCAGATGATGCAATTGAAGATAAGGGGTATAATTTGTCCTTAATTTGTTTCTTTAGTAATAAAAATGTATTCTACTTGTACATATCACATTCCTCTTGCCTCAAATCTGTATATCTGTAGGCACACTTACATTGTAGCAATTTTTCTCTATAGGGAGCCCTCAACATTAACGATAAAACAATACCTCAGCCACCCATTCTCCAGTTGTCTGTAGAGAAGTTGAGTAGGGATGGTGCCTATCTTATGGATGCTGGCTCTGTAAGTTAACATTTTATATGAATTTGTGGGTTTTTTGGAGGACTATTAAGCAGATTATATATATGAAAGAGCATAAAGGTATATGTATTGCATAGATTAATGCTATCATCTGACTGTCTTTTAGGTAATGTTTATGTGGATTGGAAAGAATTGTGGACAGAATTTTATCAGCCAAGTCCTTGGCATTCCAAGTTATGCATCAATACCACAGAACATGGTAAGTACTTAGGTAGCAGAGTGTCTTTAATAGAACACACAATGTATTATAAATATAAATAAAATATCACGTTATGGGCTAAAGAGCTTTTCATAATTGTAAAAGCTTGCTTCCCCCATCCTATGACACTCTTCCTTAGGTTCCCCACTTAAATAATCTTAGCCCATCTCTCTCATCATGAAGCCACAATAAGTAGAAGCTAATAACCATCAGTTAAATCCAGTAAAAGTCTGAGCAGACTGAGAATATTGGGACCAGGAAGGAGAGTGGGTTAGTTCACCAGCTCTGTAAGTTGTTGGAAAATTCTAGTTTAGGTCACAAGTGAAAATGAATCTGTGAACGTAGTCATAGTTGTGACAGCCAAAAGTCACTATTCGATTTCACACAACTAATAGTTTGTTAAAGGATGCTCTGAGACTGAAATTGCAGTGGTATATGGAATAGCTTTGTATTAACTATGCGTGCTTTATGCCTGACTACGGTGCTTGGCCCTTTTCATTAACACTAAATTAACTTTGTCTCCTGAATATAGAGTATGTTATGTTATGAATTAATGATAACCTTTGTCTAATAGACACATCTTCCAGAACTTGAAACAGCTGAATCTACCAGAACAATTGCCTTTATCTCCTGGTTGAGAGAGCAAAGGCCATTCTTCCCTATACTGTATATAATAAGGTAGGTTCTTTTTGAGAACTCTAATACACAAGTATGCATAGTCCCGTGTCACCCACTGTAGCGACATATTTTATACTGCATGGTCCTCACACAAGGTTTATAATAGTTGTGCGTAGTGTGAATTGCAAATATTTCAAAAACGTGATGTGATTTTAATTGTCCTTGTTTTGTCATTTTTTATTTGTGGAGGATGATACTTTCTCAGGGGATCCAGAACTGAAGGTCATCTTGTTGCCCTTCTGTCTTAGCCCTGAATCCATCCACCTTTGGAACTGGTGCATCAAAACCAACCTAATGCTTAACCTCAGGAGTAATATATAGCTACTGGTGCATCAAAACCAACCTAATGCTTAAAGCTATATATTACTCCTGAGGTTATTTTATGCAAAAAATTGAAAATTATCCACACCATATCTTAACGTTCTGCAAATGTTTATCAATAAATGTGGCTCCAGCTTAGCAGTGGGGAGCAAAGACAGCTGGCTGCATTGAGGAGGGATAGCATTGAGAAGCCCAGGAACTTGACAGCGAGTCTGCACCTGATCCTGACACAGTGCAAGGGTCCCTCTCTGCTAGACACACCAAATCTGGCTGGCTAGACTCAGCCCAGCAGGATCTGAGTTTGGAGGGGACTAATTTGAAGAGGGGGCGGGGGAACATCTGGATGTGAGGTGAGAGGTTTCTGTGTGGGGCAGTTTGGATGTGGGTGGCTCAGTGTGAGATCTGGATGCATAGGTGCTCGTAGGAGGGTTCCAGGTATAGGGGCAATGGGACTGCAGGGGATCCAGGTGGTAATGGATAGTGCCCAGCCGGGGTGGGGGGGGGAGAGGAAGAGGAGAGGCTCTTGGCAGGAGGTCTGAGTACAGGGACTCAGTAGGGGAGTCCGGGTGCTATGGGAGAGGGGCCAGGAGGAGCTGGTTAGGGATCAGTGAGGTGTGGGTAGGGGGGCGCACTTATCAGAGGAGTCAAGGTGTTGAGGGGATAGGCAGGGTTTGATGATGTCTGCTTAATGGGACATCCCCAGTCGCTGCTGAAGGGATGCCACGTACCAGTCTCCTACTTCCCTTGTGATTCCTCCTATCCACTTTTCTTCCCCATTCTCTCTCACTCACATTCCCTTCCCCCTGCCCTAATCCACTTATTTCCCCACCACCACTTATCCAGTCCCACCTTAGGCACTCAAATGTTCCACAGAAAATAGAAAGGTTCCCAGCCAGTGCATAGAAGGGGCGCACAAAGACCCAGGAGACTGTGTTCAGCTGTAGAATCCCTGGAGCCAGGCAATGCGAGGGGGGGGGGGGGGTGCAGTGGCCTACAATCCTGTGTACTTGCCTCATCTCATGGGGAGACAATCCACTCCCAAAAACTGCACACATGGTTGTCCCTCTGCTGCTTTCTTTTGCTTCCCTGACATTTTCTGGAAGCCAGGGGGAATCTGCGGGGAGGCCAATTTCAGTGGTTGTGTAGGCCTGCAGATTCCCCAGGAGTAACCTGTCTTCTAGGCACCCAAAATTCTCTGGGCACTGCATGCAGCAGGGCTCTCTACTTCAGTCACGAGTGAGAGCTATACAATGTCATGCCTCTAGTAGTTCTTTGAGAACTGGGACACCCCTCAGTGGGGGCTATTTGCCACTATGACGAACCAGAAGCTGCCTCTCTGTTCCATAGGTACAGTAGGAAAGAATTTGCAGAGCAACACTCCTCCTCTTCCCCTAGAAGAACAGACTTTATTACTCCTTTCCTCCCATTGCCCTTCCTGCTGCAAGTACTACATAAGAATAGTTGGGACAGAACCATCGTACTTGTAGCCTCATTTTGGCCCAGTCCTTTCTGATTTACAGATCTCCTTAGATTCCCAAATGCCGCTCTGCCTTCACATTCTCCCTGATCTACTCACAAGATCAGGGGAGAGTCCAGCATCCCAGTCCTAGCACTTTTCCCTTAGATTCCCAAATGCCGCTCTGCCTTCACATTCTCCCTGATCTACTCACAAGATCGGGGGAGAATCCGGCATCCCAGTCCTAGCACTTTTTACCTCATAGCTCTGGTACTTGGATGAGAGTAGAGTAGGCATGCCCACTGCTGAATGGCAAATCCTTACCCAAACAGCTGGAGAGAATCCACTAGGGAATGCTACATAAAATGATTATGCTTCATGGCATGGGCTCAACATGAGTCACTTTCTCAGTGTAGTATCTGGACTACCTTCTTGCCCTCAAAATGCCTGCTCTAGTCATCAACTCTATGGGGATACACCTGGTAGCAATCAGTATTTTTTTTTAACCCTTGCCCCTCCTCCTACCCCAGATAACACCTTAGTATTCATACACTCCACTGCTGTCCACTTTGAGGGGTTTACTCAACATTTTTCCAGCAGTGCTGAAGCTCACACCCCTATGGGAACTTAATCATATTCTCTACACCAGTGGTCCCCAAACATTTGAGGTTGCTGGGGCGGGGACACTTGGGTGCCCCCCCCCCCCAAACCCGCCTGCCC